AAACTAAAAGATACATCCTCAATGGAGTTTGTATAGAAAAAAAGAGTCTCCTGTGATTCCCTCATTTGATTTGGATCTCTTTGATCTTTATGGTTTGTTGGAACTAAGTTCTTTTATTATGATTAAGATTCAATTTGAGATTATTGGAGTTTTGGTTTGTAGTTCAGTAAATCATGGACTGAACTGAACAATGAACAACGTAACTATAAAAAAATATATGCTTCTAAAGAAGGTCGCATACATATTGTAAGCCATATACGTACACGATATATAAATTATTTGACTTATTAAGTGACTTTTTTGATCATAAACATGACAATATTGTATATTCATGGTCGATTAAACTAATAGGAAATGTTTTTTCACATATACATTACCTATAAAGATGACTAATCAGCCTTACTATGATTAGCTAAGCAGCAGTAGATAATAGTGCTCCTGCAGAAAAACAAAACAAAAGTGGCTTGTATGGCGCAGTGGTAGCGCAGCAGATTGCAAATCTGTTGGTCCTTAGTTCGATCCTGAGTGCAAGCTCTTCTTTTTTGCATCAATAAAACCCAAATTTCAAGCCATTAGTAGCTTGAGTTGTTATTTTTTTGCGTGATTAGCTTATATGAACCCTCTAAATATTTTATTTAGACTCTTTTTTTATTATTTTGGGCCTATTTGATAGGTTTTCATGAGCTCTTACGAAATTGTTGAAGTTTGGTTTCCACAGTAACGACCGCGAAACATTAATGGGATTGTGATCGATATGAAAAATGTAAACAAAAAATAGATGAAGTACTTCTCTGGCGCGTATCTCACAAGAACTATTTTTCTACCTACCTTATAGAAACTTGAACACTATTCAGGTGAACCTTCAAAACCATCATTCTCACACTCGTTTAAAATCAGAATGGCGGAAGAACCAGATTATTCCAAGCTTCCTTTGGAAGAGCGTTTAGCTCATAAAGTACGTATTTCCTTCGAATCGAGTCTGAAGACTTCAAATTATTAACAACTGAATAAAGGTTTGGAAAGCTCGTCAAGGAGCCTACATTGAAATCACAAACCAGTTCGAGAAAAGTCCAAATGAGGAGGCAGAAGTTTTTATTCCTTTCTTATCAAACCCAGATCTATTCAAGAAGGTTGTGACAGATAGTAATGTCGTTGCACATGAATCAGGTATAGCTGCATTGATTGCATTTCTAGAGTATGGTGGTCCAAAAGCTGCTCTAAGGGTGAGAAATCATGTTATAACAGGACTATGTGAGAAAGGTCTTTCGTCATCAAGAGCTGGTACAAAACAGAAATCTATAGACGCGTTATTGTGGTTAGTTGAATTAGATACACCAGATCCAGTGGTAGAGCAAATGTTACCTTGTCTTTCAGCCAAATTACCAAAATTAGTCTCAGGTACCGTAAAAGCCCTTGGTGAAATCTATAAAGCATTTGGTGCTCAAACTGTTAGTCCCAAACTGATTTTACCAAGCTTACCTAAATTGTATTCCCATGCTGATAGAACGGTTAGAGCTGAAACTTCCACTTTGACAGTTGAAATTTATAAATGGATGGGTCCTGCTTTGGAACAAGTATTATTTCCAGAATTGAAACCAGTTCAACAGAAAGATTTAACTTCAGCTTTTGAAAAAGTGAAGGATGAAAAACCCACACAAACTAGATTATTGAAATCTCAAAAGGATGCACTAGAAGCAGAGTCAGCCACACAAAATGGAGGTAACAATGGAGCTGAAGGCGATGAAGATGTTGTTATGGGAAATACTGAAGAAATTGGCCAGGTTGATGCTTATGATTTGATGGATCCTGTGGATATTCTATCTAAATTACCTGATGATTTTGGTGCAAAAATGGCAAGTGCTGCTAACTGGAAAGAAAAACTAGAATTTTTGAACGAGGTAAAACCTGTTTTCAATGTAATAAAAATTGCAAATGGTGATTATGGTGAATTGGTCAAAGTATTCGCCAAATACGTCAAGGATGTGAATCTTCAAGTTGCAACAGTTTCAGCAGAATGTATACAATCATTAGCCAAAGGTTTAAGAAAGAGATTTGAAAAATACTATCATTTGGTTTTGAGTACGTTGTTAGAGAAGACAAAGGAAAGAAAATTAACAGAAATTTTGAGCTCAACTTTAGATGCTATATTCGAAAGTACATCTTTATCTGATGTTTTGGATGAAACTTTGGAAGCCACTAAACACAAGACACCACAAGTAAGATTAGTGTCTTCTCAGTATCTTATTAGAATTTTGAAAGAAACCAGAACTGCACCAACAAGACCTGAAATTGAAGGCATCATTACTGCATCACTTAAATTAGTTGGTGATACATTACCGGGTGTGAGAACTAACGGGTTTGAAGCTGTTGGTGTCTTAATGAAGATAACAGGCGAGAGAGAACTAAACCCATATTTAGAGAAAGTTGATGACATCAAGATGAAGAAAATTAAAGAATTTTATGAAACTGCTGAGGTCAAATCCAAAGTGTCAGCTCCAAAACCAAAACCTGCTCCTGCTGCTAGAACAGCGCCATCATCAGCAAAAGCACCAGCTAAACCTGGAGTCAAACCTGGCGTTGCTACCAAAAGAAAATCACTGGTTCCACCAAGAGCATCAGCTGTTCCAAAATCTGGTATAAGTTCTGCTTCATCTACCACAAGTGCTAGTTCTACATCAACATTACAATCTAAGAAAAAATTACCATCTGGATTATCAACTATTCCTTCTAAAAGAGGTCCAACATCACCACTTAAAAGTGACCAATCTGGCTCTAGAATAGGAGGCATTGGAAATAGAGGATTGACTGGAAGATCTTTACAAACACCATCATCGTTAAATCATCCACTACCTTTAAAACAAGATTCAGGGATTAATGATGCTGAGAAAGCTGAATTAGAGGAATTGAGAACAGAAAAGCAGAATTGGTTAAAAGATCGTGAAAAATTAAACTGGCAAGTACAAGAATCTATAGCAGAAAGCTCAAGACTAATGACAGAGATTCAAACACTTTCGAGTAAAGTTGATAAATTAAATGAACAACGCACAAATGACGCTATGAATATCAAATCCAAAGATACACAACTACAAAGAGCCCAATCAGATGCTGAAATTGCACGTTTGAAGATTTCTCAACTTGAAAATGAAATTCAACTAATAAGGAAACAAAGAACCTCATCATTAAACTCATTTGGTACCTCAAATAGTCATGTTGATATTCAATCAGCATCAAGTTTTGAATCCATTGAAAGACCGAGACAATTTTCACCTTTACAAGAAACAAACGGTGTGAGATCTGAACATTCAAACAAATCAAGTTTGGATAGTATAGATAGAAAGGTTGGAAGCTTAACCATAGATAATGAACAAAAGGAGAATAATATTTTGAGCCCGACAGTTCTGGATACAAATGATGATAGTTGGAGAAGAGCAGCTGAAGTCACATCACAATTGAAAGCTAGAATTGAGAAAATGAAGGCCAAATCCAGAAATAGTATTCCATCTTCTTCCGGTTATAGATAGTTTTCCACTCTTGGGACATATTATGAATTGTTGAATCATCACATCAAGTATATAAAATTGTTTTCACTGGGTAAAGGTTACAAGTTACAAATGAGATCTTACGTATTAAATTTTAATCAAATAATTTTCATAAATAGATTATAAGCTTTTGAAGTTTATAATAACCGTAGACAGATTCTATTTACGGAAGCAGCAGATAATTATGAAAGACTAAGGCTCCAATTAATTCATAAAGGTGATCCATTACGTGTTTAACATCTATTATATTAAAAAGTTACGAACGAGACAAATGAATAGCTGCTTTTCTAACAGTTCAACACACCAAGAGACATTGAACACAGCAAAACCTCCATGTAGAATATACTATTAACTAGACTGAGGAGTCAGGATTCGTTGAAAAGTAAGTTCTATTAAGTAATCTAGACTCTATAGCTTATATAGCATATAGCACGTTTTTGCTAATTTAATTAAGCTGCTGCTCATCAGTTTTGCAACGCATATTATGCAACCTTATATTTAAAAAAAACTAGTCACAAGACTCTATTCCTTCTTGGATCGTGAGCCTATTGTCTATACGTAATAGATAATTCAACATGCTTAACATTGTAACAGTCTAATTTTCGTTGAAATTAAGTCAATTAATCATAGAAGTACTTGAATACAATTCCATACTAACTTCTATGTATGCTTCTCAAGAATATGCCAAAAATCATATGCTTTTTATAAGTTTTTGCAAATTCCTATTCTGGACAGGATAGATTTTTTCTGGCGCGAATCTGATATTTTCAAGCACAAAAGGTAAGAAAGGCACTAAATTTAGCCAAAGTTGCACGGTTAAGGACACATACCACGGAAAAGCAGCCAATTTGTTTTTTGCAAATTAGTGAAATTGTGACAATTTCGGTAATCTGCAAATTTAGTAGCAAAATTAGGATTTTTTTTTTTTTAATTTCTTCCCTTGGAATCTAGATGATACTTAAACTTTATAAGATAGTTTTTTCCTTCTTATATATTGATAGAAACGCCATAGTCATATACTTTCGTTTATCCAAAAACTATATTACAATCGTTTAAAAATGCAAGTTCAACAAGTCGTCGCCTCATTCTTAGCTTCATCATCATTATTTGGTACTCAACAAGAATCAAACGCTGTTGCTAACAACGATTTTGCCGTTGTTCGTGGTCACAATAAAGTTGTTTCTAACGGTTCAAACAATTCAAATGGTTCAAACTCAACCTCATCATCAATCAACGGTGCTGCTTTAGCTTCAGGTAACGGTGCTGTCTTAGCTGCTGGTGTTGCTGGTTTAGCTGCTTTCTTATTATAAGTTCAATATTTCCCATACCCATAGGGGGTTCGCAATTTGAATTTTATTAATTAATAGAACATTTTCTTATTAATACTTGGATGACGGTTTAATTTTTGTATTTTTTTCTGCTATGTTTTTTTGTATTTGTTTCAGCAAGCTAAAATTTGATTAATATATGATATACTAATATTTATTCGAATTCAATTGTAGGGTCCTCTTTTGATTTGAATTGCGCGTAAGATAAGATTACTAGCAATCTGACCTATATTTCGGAAAGTCGCAAGTGAAAAAAGCCGCGTCAAACCTCAAGATTATGACAAGAGGTCAAATGAATAATAGATCAACATGACACCAAAATTTGCCACACTTATTCATAGGGTTGAGATTGGGAATCATCATATAAATGGATCAGATCTAAAATCTGCATGGTATTTGCAAATTCTCGAAATCATGAAAAGGAAATTTGCGAAATTATACCCAGGGGCCAGTCGCGACTTTATGAGCCATACTTAACTTTAATATTAAACATTGAAGAATAGAATTAATATTGAAGGATATTATTACTCTAAGCTCTTTGAGATCACAACAGAATGTCAACTTCGGAAACAGAACAACTCAAAGCCAGAATAGCTAAACTTGAAAAGGAAATTGAAGATCTTAAACAAGTTACAATTTTTTCAGATATTCAACCATATGTGGAGGAAAATCAAGACAAATTTAAACAATTGAAAATATCAAGTATTGGTCTTTCATATCTTATCAAATTCCAAAAGAAGGGTATACTGAAGGAGCTAATCAAAAGGGTTGCTTCTGATTTATATAAAGACGTTGAAGATGTACAATTATTAGATCCAAAAAATGGTAAATTATTAACAGGTGATGAAGATTTACAACAATTTGAACAAGATGGTGTTTTTAATCTAGACTTCCAATATGCAAATGCTTGTGGACATGATCATGATCATGAATATGGCTCTGATGAAGATTTTACAGATGATGAGAATTTTTATAATAGTTGTAGTTGTTCTCATCCACATTGAATAGTTATGGTCATGAAATGAAGGCAATTTATGGGTTTGAAACCAGGAAAAAAAATGCTTGATTGATAGAAATATAGATATTTGTAATATAAATGGGCTTCATGGATTGAATTAGGATATCTTAGCTCAACAATAACCAGTTGAATAAATTTTTTTTTGAAACATTTTGATTCAAATTTGTGTAGATAAAGTGCTGAGTGCTGCCTTTACCGAACTTGTCAGAATTTCGTTTTCTCGATTCCTTTTTTTGAAAAAGTGTTTATATTTTTTGGAGAAACAAATATAACAAGAACGTCTTCAAATACAAAACATCAAAAGGAAGAGAACCAATAAGCACCATGTCAGAATACAATCTTCGTGCAAAGACCTTGAGAAGTACTAGGAATAGACACACTACTTCTTTCAGACCAACTCCTAAAGCTTCAGAGATTTTCCCAGGTTTAAATGATATTACCGATGCATTTGAAGCACTCCCTACAGATGTTATTAGATATTTTACACTATTGAAAGAAATTGATGCAAAATGTGTCAATATAATACCTACATTGAACCATGAGATTAAGAATTTCGTTAAAGCTAAGAATGATCCAAATGATAAAGAAGCTAGAACTGCCAAAATTCAAGAAATTTCTAGTTTATTAAGAGATGTTTTACCATGTCTTGAAGAAAAAATGCATGTTGCAACCATAGCAGCTGATAAAACAATAAGTTATATTGATAGAATCAATGATGATTTTGATTTAATCTTCAAGAATGAAATTCCAGAGAATATTAAATTTGGTTCAGCTAATCATCCAGCTATTATAAATGATTCAAGAATACCTGATAATAAATCCGCTCAATCACAAAGAAGTGAAAGTAGAAGAGAAGCACTTGCTGCTAGAAAAGCTGCTAATGATACTGACAATGATGATAGTGGAACAAATAGAGGTAAATCAAGAAGAGCTGAAAAGGAAAGTACACCAGTAGGATCTCAACCACCAGCAGCTACTACAACAAAGAAACGTAAAACTAATAACACAACTGCAAATAATAATGCATCAAATACCAATACTCAAAATCAAGGAGCAAATAATCAAACCCAAGGCGCTAATACTGTTAAGAATGAAGAACCTCAAATATCAAGACCTTCAACTCCATCAACAAACAAGAGACGTCAAACTACTAAAAAGAAACCAAGTCAAACAGCGGCAAATCAATTATCAAGTCAATCAGCTGAAACTGCTAGAAATGTTGCATCAGCGGAAGCTGAATATGCTGATGAAATTGCAAGTAGAAGAAATAATGCTGATGAGCCATTATATTGTTATTGTAATCAAGTTTCATATGGTGAAATGGTTGGATGTGATGGTGATGATTGTAAAAGAGAATGGTTTCATCTACCGTGTACCGGGTTGGCAACATTACCTAAAGGGAAATGGTATTGTGATGATTGTAATGCTAAATTAAAGAAGGCTAAAAAAATCTAGATTGATTTTTGTTATTAGTTGTTGTTGTTGTGGATACCTACACTGGTTTTGTGGTTAATCGGATGGTTTTTGTGTTTATGATAAATTAAGCTTACAAAAACATCGTGTATAATTAGAGATTTTGAAACACAAAAGTTAATGAAAGATTTATTTAATGATTTGGTACTCTCTTTGCAGATTGTGTTGTAATATCTGTTATTGATATTGTTTATAAGGCGTGATCTGAGACATTATATTAAATTCATCATGTTGAAAAAATGCATTATTGGGATTTGTTATCTTTCAGTTTTAGTTCATTCTAAGTATCATTACGAAAGAAGTTATAATCAAAAGAGAAGTTTTGCAAATGAAGAAGTTGCACCAACTTGGGAACATCATCATGAAGAAGAAGAACATCATGCTGAATGGGATGGTGATAATAATAATCAAGATCAACAAGATGTTATTGGATGGGAAGGTGATTCTATAAATGATTGGGATAATGAATCTGATGTTGAAGAATCTTGGAGTGGTCCATTAGCTGAACCTTGGGAAGGTGATGATTATAATGGTGAACTTGGTTGGAATGAAAATCAAGAAGAAAATTATGATTATGATTATGATGATGAAGAAGTTGATTGTAATGATGCTGATAAACATTTTGGTGAAACTCATGAAGAACATACACAAGAAGGTCATATTCATAATGTTCATGATGTAACTGAAGATGCTAGTTCACAAGTTCAATTACCAGCAGATGCTTATTCATTAGAATATATTGAAGCTTTAAGAAAAATTGGTGTTCAGAATGTTGCAGCTGGTGCAAAAGGTATTACTTATTCATTTTATACAAGTGCAGGTGCATGTAAAGCTCCACAAGATATTCAAAATGATATTAGTAAAATTCAAAATTTTGAAGTTATTAGAATTTATGATACGGATTGTGATGGTATAAGTAATATTTTGAAAACAATTGGACCAAATCAAAAAATCTTTGCAGGTATTCATTATCCAGAAGTTGTTGATCAATCTGTTGCCATTTTAGGTGATGCTATTCAATCAAATGGTGGTGATTGGAGTAAAATACATACTGTTTCAATTGGTAATGAAATGGTAAATTTTGGTAAAGCTACACCAGAAGGTTTAAAAGCTTCAATTGCACATGCAAAGACATTATTAAGTGCTAGAGGTTATAATGGACCAGTTGTTACTACTGATACTTTAGTTGCAGTGTTGAATAATAAAGAACTTTGTAATATTGGTGATTATATTGCAGTTAATTCACATCCATATTGGGATGGAGGAGTTCCAGCTCAACAAGCAGGACCATGGTTACAATCTCAACTTTCCATGCTTAATGATGTTTGTGAAAGAAATGGTAAACAAATCTTTTTAGCAGAAACCGGGTGGCCACATAAGGGGAAGAAATTTGGACAACATGGTGATCCTTCAAAAGATAATCAGTTGATTGCAATTAAATCTATTGTTGATACCTTGGGTCAAGACACAATCTTATTCACCACATTCAACGACTACTGGAAAGACGGTGGTAGTCATGATGTTGAGAAGTACTGGGGGATCTATGAGGACTAGACTGAATTGTCATTCGTGACATTTTTACACTATATATATTTATCAAACTATTGGAAAGTTATGCTTTAGAATTGAATGTTTTAAATCAAATTTTGTAGATTTTGTGCATGATAATTTCACGGAATTTTCGCCTTTTGTCGATTCCCGATTTTGGACATATTTTCGCGACGGTCTGCCTTGGTTTTTTTGAGCTTGAAACTTTGAATTCGGTTTGTTCTCAAATAAATTTGAAATGGCGAGATTTGAGTCTATTTGAAAGCATAGTTCATTGAGCGTGTGAATAGTTTTGATCATTGTATTCTTCAAGGAGTCAAGTATATACCATGTCAGGAAAAGTGAGTACTTTGTTTCAAACACAATTGTTTACACCCATTGGTCTTTTTTCGCACACCAATTTTTGGTTGGGTCGCCCTCATCGGGACATAAGTATATGATATTGAAGGGAATTGACCAGGAATTTTCTTCAAAAGTGATTGGTAATTTATGGAATATGGAATTATACTGGTCTTGAGAAGCGATGTATTGATTATGATGGATATTCAATAATGGGTCTTTGTGCTGGGGTTATTGGGGGTTATAGGGTATATTTGTTATCATGGTAACAAATGCATGGCTATGAAAAAAGCGAACCTGTCAATGATCATTACGCCTGGTCTAAATTGGTGTGAAAAAGGATGAATTATGGGTATGAATATGAAATGAATACTAACATGATTTTATATAGAATCATACAGTTAAAGAATATAAATTAGTTGTTGTTGGTGGTGGTGGTGTTGGTAAATCCGCATTAACTATTCAATTTATTCAATCACATTTTGTTGATGAATATGATCCAACAATTGAAGATTCTTATAGAAAACAAGTTGCTATAGATAATGAAGTTGCATTATTAGATATCTTAGATACTGCTGGACAAGAAGAATATAGTGCAATGAGAGAACAATATATGAGAACTGGTGAAGGATTTTTATTAGTTTATTCAGTTACTGAAAGAGAATCTTATAATGAATTATTAACATTTTTCCAACAAATTTTAAGAGTTAAAGATTCAGAAGATGTACCAGTTTTATTAGTTGGTAATAAATCTGATTTAACTGAAGAAAGAAGTGTAAGTTTTGAAGAAGGTGAAAAATTAGCAAAACAATTTAATTGTAAATTTTTAGAAACTAGTGCAAAACAAGGTATTAATGTTGATAATGCATTTTTTGATTTAGTTAGAAGAATTAGAATTAGAAATAATGAAGGTCCAAATTTGATTAACAATCAAGATCAATCAAATTTAAATGAAACATCTCAAAATAATGTTAATGGTGGTGCTGGTGTTATTGGTGGTTCAACAAATGGTAATATTGGTAATGGTAATCATCAAAAAAATCAAGGATTTACCAATGGAGGAAATGATCATGGTGATGGATTTATAGATGATGAAAACAAGACAAACAATAATGTTAAAGATTCTAAATCAAATAATAATTCTAATGCAAGAAAACAAAATGTTCAAAAAGATTCTGGTAAAGAATCTGGTGGTGGATGTTGTGTTATTGTTTGAATGGATATTAATTACATCATGATTATTTAAATAACTTAAAACCTTGATTTCATTTTAATTTTTTTCTTATATTTCAATTTTGTTAATTTGCTGTTTTTTAAATAATTTGTCACTCGTTTTCTATTTTAATCAAATTATCAAGGTTTGTTATTATCATGATTGAACAATTCTTTCCATTAATTATACATCAGTTAATCTTTTCCAAAAAAAAAAACCAAAAAAGAACAACAATAATTCATAATTGTGTGTTTCAATTCTAATGTTTTAATAAGTTTACCCAATGTTTTTTGTTTATTTGATTTTTTCTAAGCTTTGATAATACTAAAAGAATCTTCTACATTTACAAGAATTCTCTGAAAAAAACAAAGATAAAACGTATATATGCATTTTTTATAAGTTTAATTAATTTTGCAATTTTGTATAGGTTTTTCCAATATTATAATTTCATCAGTATAATTTCTAATCTATCAGTAGTAAAGTTTCTTGACACAGCCGGCTCTGCCTTTTTTTTTTCTAATTAATGAAATGATAAATAATGAAATGTAAAATCAAACTCGCAAATATATAATCACCAAGAGCTCTTTCAGGAGTAATTTTTTTAAAAAAATCTTTATTTTGTGAAACACTTTGTAAACGTAAAGAAACAGTAAGTACAAATTGACCCACAGTTGAAATAAATCCACCTAAAAATGCATTGAATGGGAAATTACCAACCAGTATAACGAAAATGAATTGAACCGAGGCAACAAGTACTAAAAAAGTTAAAAAAATATCAATTAATTTTAATCTTGGTGTTAAATTTTCAAAATATGAATTTATAGATTTTTCAATTGAATTTGTAAAATCTCCAATTGCATTAGTATTTGTTGATGATGATGAATCTTTTGAAGAGTTTGAGACTGCTACAGCAGCAGCTTTGGCTTTGTTTTGTTTAGCTTTTGGAGCCATGATGGAATACCTTTAATTGTATAAATCTAGAGTATTTTATGTATTTCAACTTTTGATAGTAGAAGTATTTGACAAAAACATCAAACGTGTAATGTTTTATTTTGGTGATGAAAATGAATTCCGACTTATCACCTGACGCGTCACATGATAAGAATTCAAAGTCGGATTTCCCTTTTCAATCAATTTTAAATTCAAAAACGAATAAACAGAGAAATTTAAAATTTAAAGAGAACAAGAAGGTGAATTTATTGATTGTTATTTGTTGGCTATAAATATATCACAATGTCAGGGATAGAGGGAGAGAATAGTATCAGTCAAGCTCAGATCCAAGTTGAACCAATTTCAAATCATTCAAATGGTGTAAAATCAATTGATCAAGGTAGTAATATAACAATTAAAAATCCACCATCATTAAGAATAGTACCACCTTTAAATTTTTGTCCTGTAGAGAGACATCTTTATAGAAGTGGACAACCTTCCAAAATCAATTTTGAATTTTTAAAAGAATTACATTTAAAAGCTATAGTATGGTTAGCATCAGAAGATCCAAGTGATGAATTTATTGAATTTGTTCAAAGTGAAAATATAAATATTTATTTTGCAGCTATAAATCCAGATGGTGGAGGTGATAATAATCCATGGGATGGTTTAAATGAAAATAGTATAATCCAAGCATTAAATATCATTGTGAATAAAAATAATTATCCTTTATTAGTCTGTGATAATGGAATGGGTAGACATAGAACAGGTACAGTTTTTGGATGCTTAAGAAGATTACAAGGATGGAATTTAGCAAGGTGGGTATCACTTTAGTTTTATTATAACAAGATATATTTACTAACCATGGTTTTTAGTGTTTCTGAAGAATATAGAAGATTTACAGGTTCAAGAGGTGGTAGAATCTTGGTTGAACTTTTAATTGAGGTGAGTATAATAATATAGGTCTTTAACAATATGGGCAAATACTAACAATTAAACAGGCTTTTGACAAGAGACTTATCACGATAGACAGAGAAACTGCACCGGATTGGCTTCTGAACAATTAGACTGGGATTAAACTGGGATTAAAATGTACTATATAATGAAATATGAATTTTGGTATATTAGAACTGATTGTAGCTATATTGTAACCACCAAGTATGCTAAAACATTCGAAATTTCACAACATGACACGCCAAATCCTTCACAATTACCACCTAATATACTACTCTCAGTCCAATCGATATCTGCTCTTTTGTGTCAAATTAAAATCCTCCCACTTTTTGTGTTTCTCGCCTTTTTCTTATCAGCGTGATTTGAATTTTGTTGATCCGAAGCCACTCAAGAAAATTCTGATAAGAATCAAAACAAAAAAGTAAAAACTGAGAGCGATCTCGAATCAACTCATCACCAAAAACCACAAAACAACAAAACAAGAACACAGGAAACCAAGGGATAATAGGCCATTAGCTAGAAGGAGTACACAAGAGACCATCACCAGACAATACAACATATACATATCCATGACTTCTTCACCGAAAGATATCGATAATAAGCGATCATTTAACCAACAAAATAGTATCGCCATCGGTGCTGGTGGGAGTTATAATTCAATTTCAAATTCTGTTCCTAATGTTGCTTCCAGGAGGTATTCTACTCAAAGATTAGGATCTCCTGCACCTTTTGATAATTCTCCAAGAGCTCGTTCATTTCATTTAGGTGTTAATAATTCAATCAAGACTGGAATTTCCATTAATCAAGCATCATCAAGTAATTTAAAGAAGACAGATTCCCTGTATTCTTCTTCAAATTCAAGTCAAAATAATCAAGTACTGATTGATGCTGATTCTCCTTCATTTGCACCAGATTTTAAAGATCAAAATGTATTAAAATCTACGGCAAATTTATATTTTAATGATGGTAATACAATTTTACATAATGAAGGTGGTGATATAACAAGAGAAATTAAACATAAAGGTTCATTCGGTGCTAATTCTTTAAAAAGAACTAAATCTTCAAGTGATTTAATGGATAGTAGAAGAGGTTCCACTGCAAGTGCCCTAAATGTTCCAGGTGGATTTAGAAGAGAATTTATTGTTAATAAAGCCCGTGAACGTGCAATTTTAAATGATGAAGAATTAAAAAAAGTTCCATTTTTAACCAAGAATTTCATGGAATTTTTATATATTTATGGTCATTTCGCAGGGGAATCATTTGATGAAGATTTTGAATTTGATTTAGATCAAGATCATTCTGGTGATTCTGAAGCTGTTTCATGGGATGAAACAACACCTTTAGTCGCATCAAATCAACAAGGTCAAACTATAAGGTATGAAGCTAAGGGAACAACATCTACTCTCAAGGCATTTCTTATAATGTTGAAATCATTTGTTGGAACTGGTGTATTATTTTTACCAAAAGCTTTTAGTAATGGTGGATTAACTTTTAGTTCTATCATGTTGGCCATTTTTGGTATTTATTCATATTATTGTTATTATATACTTGTTGTTTCTAAAAATGCAACAAAAGTTTCATCATTTGGTGATATTGGTGGGAAATTATATGGTGGATGGATGAAAAATTTAATTTTAATTTCTTTAGTTCTTACACAAATTGGATTTGCTTGTGCTTATATTATATTTACAACTGGTAATTTAACTGCTTTTTTCAATAATGTTACAAATTTTAATATTCAACCTGATAAATTTTTCTTGCTACAAACTATTGTTTTCATTCCATTATCATTTATTAGAAATGTTTCAAAATTATCATTACCTTCATTTATGGCAAATTTTTTCATTATGGCTGGATTACTTATTGTTTTATTCTTTACAACAAAGGAAATTATATATAATGGAGTTAAACCAGTGGAAACTTTTATTAATAAATCAAAATTTTCATTATTTATTGGTACTGCAATTTTTGCATTTGAAGGTATTGGACTTATTATTCCAGTTCAAGATTCAATGAGACATCCAGAAAAATTCCCATTAGTTCTTGGATTAGTTATTATTACAATTACTATAATGATGATTACAATTGCAGCTATTGGTTATTTAGCTTATGGAGAAGATATTCAAACAGTTATATTATTAAATTTACCACAAAGTAATTTCTTTGTTAATTTAATTCAATTTTTTTATTCATTAGCAATTTTATTATCAACTCCATTACAATTATTTCCTGCAATTGGTATTATTGAGAAAAGAATTTTCCAAAAATCAAATTCTGGTAAATTTAATAATAAGACAAAATGGTTAAAAAATTTTTTTAGAACTTTATTTGTTGGTTTCTGTATGAATATTGCTTGGTTTGGTGCAAATGATTTAGATAAATTTGTTTCATTTGTTGGTTGTTTTGCTTGTATCCCATTAGTTTATATGTATCCACCTTTATTACATTATAAAAGTAGTACACATGGTGATTTTTGGGGGAAAGTTTTAGATATTGTATTGGTTATTATTGGTGGTGCTGCAATGTCTTATACTTCATATCAAATTATTCATGGTTAGCTTTTGTTATTGCTATAGATTTACTCATTATATTATTTATTAGATACATTATTATTATATTCATATTATTCATATATTATACAATCATTTAATATACACTTGCATTGATACAAGCTTTCTGCAAGACTCGTATATATTTTCTTGATTTTCAAACGGCTATTTTTAGCTTGTTTTTGTTTCAAGCACCCTTTAGTATTTGTTGTGTTTATATCAGGTTGTCATTGTTACGTTATGTTGTTATGTTCTACTATAGATCATCGATTGAATTTGATTACCAACTACCTATGCTATAATTAAATTTCATGAATTCTATAGACGTTCTATACATGTTATACACCAGCTCAAGCTGCAAAAGTTCTTAAGTACATAACATATTATTTTCATTTGAGATTAAACTTTCAAGCTCAAGTTCTATTTTACGTTCTTGTACTTCTATTTTGTTTATACTTTCCAACCAGCTTGAAACTTCTATGTAACATGACTTTGATCAAGTTTAAATTCCACGGGAACCTCAAGGCATTCGCTTAAATAGCTATATAGACATCATCTTAACGGCACGATATACACAGATCATAGCCCCAGTATTTAATACATATCATACATTAAAACTGATCAAATGTTGAGTACCTTCCGGAAAATTAAAAGTTTTAATTCGTCAATATAAGAAATTTTAATTCATCATGAATGTATGCACAGAAAACTATTGTTGGACTCTGACCGTACCAATTTCACGATGCCCTTTTTTAGTATATGTTTCCAAGTTTGGAATAGCGAGAATTTGAAAATTGTACGCGCGTAGCAGGCGAAAATACTTTACTAGTGATGGGTTAAAGATGCCCTTTGGATGCTGGTAGACTGTAGTTATTTGGAAGTTAAGATGGATCAGTGCAGCATCATGATTCATTACTAACAGTTTCTGCAGTCAAATTTGTGCTTGTTTAATGGTTGCTGAGTTGAGCTAGCTATACTTAGATTTTAATTCTACCGTCCGTAAGATTTCAAGATTTAGGTTAGATTTAGTGGGTACAATAGAGTTTTGTTTGTTTACTTCAGATTTGTTTGTTCAGAGGTTTGTGCTATTATTGTCCAAATTATTGTATACTTTCCTTTTGAAACTCTTTAGTGGTTACTAGTTTAGTGATCTCATAAAATCGCAATCAATTCATGCTTATTTGTGGGTTTTGATGTACAATGTGTAAAAATGCTTCAATACCCACTTCCATTTTAGTGTTTGACTTCCGTTTAAAACGTTATGCATTCAATATTTAAGTGCTTTCAAAGGGACTTATAACACATTGTGACAAAAATAGAATGCTGGTGATGTTTGGGTACTATGGTTTCTGGAGTAATATCGCATATGTGCTATATTTGACTGTTACGTACCTGCTACATACCCTATTAACAAATGTCATACTACTTCAACATTTAAGCGACCATGCGAAACATAGCTGGTTACAAGTATCCAAATTAGGTATATGTATTTGATCTTATATTTATTGAAAGTGTTTAAATAGGATCCAATATTCCCAAGTTTTATTCAACGTTTGGATCTAAGACATCTTAGACATCAACAAAGCTTATCAAACAAAGTTCATCAACAATGTTATTCACTCGCTACGTCTCTATTGCTTTCGCTGCTGCTCTTGTTTCTGCTGCTACTGAACCAAAAGCTACTCAAGGTCAAACCACTGCAGTTCCAACTGTTCCAGGTTCAGCTTCAAACTACCCAGATGAATCTACATCAACTGAAACCCCAAAAGCTACTCAAGGTCAAACCACTGAAGAACCAACTGTTCCAGGTTCAGCTTCAAACTATCCAGATGAATCCAAAACATCTGAAACTCCAAAAGCTACTCAAGGTCAAACAACTGCTGTCCCAACTGTTCCAGGTTCAGCTTCAAACTACCCAGATCAAACAAAATCAGTTGGTCCATCTGGTTATTTCAACACTTCAATTGCCACTCAATCAAACATTGAAACCACTTTAGTTACCATCACTTCATGCCACGAAGATAAATGTTCTGAAGTTCCATCAACTGCTCAAGTTTCAATTGCTACTACTACCATTAGCGGTGTTGTTACTCAATACACTACTTACTGCCCATTATCAACAACTGATTCATTTGCACCACCAGTTGCTTCTCCATCAGGTTCATCTACTGATTCCTTTGCACCACCAGTTGCTTCACCAACAGCTTCATCTACTGATTCATTTGCTCCTCCAGTTGCTGCTCCAACTTCAGGTGAACATGTTCAAACCACTTTAGTCACTGTTACTTCATGTAAAGATAACAAATGTACTGAAGTTCCATCAACTGCTCAAGTCTCAGTTGCTACTTCAACTGTTAATGGTGTTGAAACTTCATACACAACTTATTGTCCAATCTCTTCAACTGATTCAGTTGCTCCACCAGTTGCTTCTCCAACTTCAGGTTCAGCTGCTGCTTCTACTCATGTCACCAATGGTTCAACTGTTGTTAAACCATCAGGTTCCACTGCTGCTCCAAAAGGTTCCACTGTTGCTCCATCTGGTTCAACTCCAGCTTCATCAGCTGCTCAACAATCAAAAGCCCCAGGTTCTTCAGTTGCAGGTGTTTCCACTTATGAAGGTTCTGCTGCTAAAGTTGTTGCTGGTTCATTCTTTGGTGTCTTACCATTTTTATTCATCTAAGTTTTTTCATGATGAATATACATTAATTTCATAATTTGTTGTTTCCTTTCTTATAGTACATGATGGTATGTCATATCATGGATTTTGATCATTATTATTAGCATGCTTCATTTTCAAGTTTTGCATTGTTTAAAATTTTTACATTTTATATTTCCTTCTTTGGCTGTTTATATTATAAATAGTTGACCCTATGTTGGGTTTTTAGTTTCTGATTTTCCAATACAGGTTAGTTGGATGTTGAATTCATATTCTTTTAATTTAGATCTGATGTAGGCTCTCCTTGATTATCTGTTATATATATGATAAGTCTTACTAGTAGCTGAAACTCATATACCCTCTAACGTACACTCTAGTTTCAACCAGCTTCAAGGAAGAGTTACTATCAGTATACATGTCAGTACTCAATAGCTAGCGTTGTCCTTATCTCGGTATTATATAGGCTCAAGTACAATATTATGGCCATATATTTCCATTATCCATTGTAGAAGATTGAAGTCCTTATATTTCTTCATCAGTTGACCACTTTACGAGGTGCATTAGAATCTGCAAATCCAGTTTTGGTCAAGAGCTGCTGATCGACGTTTTGAAAGGGTTTATCAATTTTTATCAATGTTTTTGACTTTCGGTGATATCGAGAATTGAAAACAATCATAAACAAACAATTTATACCACAACATCAACAAAAACCGAAGAACTGAATCAACAAACCTTATGAAAGTCGCTCAAATAGAGGTTAATAGAAGTCAGTGCTATCATATCATCCATCTGGATTCATAACAAACGCGGATACACACCATGTGGTGATTTAGCCGGCTCATACGTATAAAGGTTGGATAAAGTTATCAAAATATCACCTCTTTTTCAAATCACATTTCCGTTTATGAGCTGGGCTGCATTAGATTATACTTAAAGAATCATGGCTAAAGACAAAAAATAAGTAAATCAAGTACACTCGAGAAGGATTTCAAAACTTTAACTGGAAGTTTTCTGGGTGATTTCCAAGAAGTTTGAGCTTATGAAGAACACAATGAGTGCATGCAACATGTAACTAATTTATTAATATCATTTAGCCTATGAATATAAATATCAATTAAGATCCACATACTGAGCTAGATGTTTCCAATCATATAAATTTTCACCAACTCATCAATAGGGAACTTCAAGATGTTATTCACTCGTTACGCTACTACTCTTGCTATTGCTACCTCATTCGTTTCAAAAGTCGGTGCCATCGCTGCTCCAAAAGCTGAAGCTTTACCATGGGCCAATGCTAACCCACAAGCTTTCGCTGCTGCTAATGCCTATGCTGATGCCTATGCTGAAGCAGTTGCTCTAGCTCATCCAGATCCAGAAGCTTACGCTTTAGCTGCTTCAGCTGATGATTGTGCTTCAATCGCATGTCATGCTTCTTGTGGTCTTTTAATCATTGCTGGTCAAGAATGTTCTACAAACTCTGAAAACTCTTATCAAGGTCCATACAATACTAGTTGTTTATGTAGTGCTGGGTCAAGTTTCAACCAGTACTATGCTCCATGTATGGATTGTGGTTGGACTTTATGGAAATATTACGGTGGTTATGTTAGTTCTGCTTTAGCTGCTTGTGAAACCATGTCAACTGAACCAACTGGTACTGCAAGATGTTCAACTACTTTAACTGATTCATACACTTTAGATACTGAAATTCAAGGCTGTTCATATTTAGGTAACTGTCCAACTACCACTGCTGAAGCTACATCAACTGCTGCTGAAACTACATCTACTGCTCCAACTTCTGATGCTCCAGCTACTTCTCAAGATGCTACTACTTCATCAACCTCTCAAGCTGCTCAACCAACATCTGAACAACAAACTTCAGAAGGTCAAACCACTGATGCTGCTCCAACTTCAGACGCTGCTCCAACCTCAAACGCTGAACAAACTACTGATGCACAAACTTCAGCTGCTGCCCCAGGAACTGAAGCTGAAAGTTCCACTGCTCAAACTTCAGATTCTCAAAACTCAGAAGCTCAATCATCAGCTGAACAATCAACCACACCAAGAGCTACTCAAGGTCAAACCACAGCTGTCCCAACTGTTCCAGGATCAGCTTCAAACCATCCAGATGAATCTAAATCAAAATCAATCGAAACTCCAAAAGCTACTCAAGGTCAAACCACAGCTATCCCAACTGTTCCAGGCTCAGCTTCTAACTACCCAGCTCAATCAAAATCAGTTTCTCAACCATCTGGTTATTTTAACACTTCAGTTGCTACTCAATCAAACATTCAAACTACTTTAGTCACTGTTACTTCATGTCATGAAGATAAATGTTCTGAAGTTCCATCAACTGCTCAAGTTTCAGTTGCCACTACTACCATCAACGGTGTTGTTACTTCATACACTACTTATTGTCCTTTGACTACACCTGAAGATGTTCCAGCTACTCAAAGTACACAATCAAAATCACAATCACAAGCTCCAAGTGGCTCAATCCCAGGTTCTACTAAAACTACTGGTGCCACCGAAGCTCCAGGAGGTTCAACTGTTGCTCCATCTCCATCATCTCCAGCTACTCAATCAACTGTTTCATCAGTTCCAGCGGTTACTACTTTTGAAGGTGGTGCTGCTAAGGTTGTTGCTGGCTCATTCTTTGGTGTTTTACCATTCTTATTCATCTAGATTTCTTTATGAATAGAAACGTTTTCCAATTAAATTGATCAATTTCGAATTCGATATTGATTTAATACCTTTGTGCCCATTGATTTACATTGTTATTTATTACTTTCGTTAAATATATTGATGTATATTACATACCTTATGTTCTTATGTTGTCCAATTATGATTCTTGGTCGACACTTCTCATATATACACTTCACTATATATTGATTAGTTCTAGTTTGTAATATAAAGACGTTAATATCCTTAGACAATTGACTCTATGATTATTTTGTAGAGGTTAATGGTAGTCGGTATACCAATATTATATAGTGGTGAATATAATAATATACCTAGTTGTAGTGATTAAAATATTCAAGATCGAGTGGACTAGATCTAAGAAGAGCTCCGATAAGATTCGTGCGATATGTTTGAGACCTTCCTAGACGTTATATTGCTTTACAGTTAATCGAGATTCGACACGTCGTAAAGAAAAGTATAACAAGTTTGGTCAAGCTTTTCAAATAACCGGGAAACATGAAAGTCCAATCACGCTAAGTATTAATTGTTTCATCCCTTTTAAGCTTTAACTCTTGGAGTCGATGTTCAACACTGTTCAACTCACAATCAAAAACACGGTCAAAGTTGCATACATCAAATCGCGGGTATTATTATTATGAAGTTCGCTTCGGTGATATCGAAATGAAAATAAAACAAAAACATTCATTCCATAAACTCAACAAGAACCATCAGGAAACAAACAACAATGAATTAAGACAACTGATCCATCATATTCAGCTAGCCAAACTTCTTGCATTAGGTTATCAAGTTGTTGAAATAACCACCACTGAATCCATTTGCCATGTGTCATAGATAAAAAGCATCGGGTGCTGTTTAATTATAATTCACCGGTATCACCTTTAACGTTAAAGATTGAGAACACCTCCAAGACTGTTCAAGGTTTAAACGGGAAATCCCAGCTTTACGAAACAACCAAAATGATCAAAAATGACGCAAAGGGATGCAAAAAAGCTTCGAATAGGTAGTGATTTACTACTTTAATCGTTGGTTAAGATTTGGTTTTTGGTGTGTTTTGATAACATTTGGTGATTTTTATGCTACTTTAATGCACACAACGAATAGATGATTGGCCATCTTATTGTTTATTTGCACAGTTATGTCTCATCAAATAACCGTGTTTGTGCTTACTGCTGTACCACTTGAAGGGTTAGTGAATCGTGATCATAATTTTAAGCTGAATTAAAGGGTGTTTACGCTAGAAAATACTTGATCAACTCCAGACTTTTCGGTGATTAAAATAAGTACCAATTACTTATATAAATATGCTTGATTTCCAATAATCTTGATAACGATGTTGATCTTGAACTTTTTAAATCTTCATTCAATCGTTTTAGAATCCTATTGACATATCAGTTTCTTTACCGGCATTTCAAATATGAAATCATTCCTTCGTTTGTTTTTGTCATTAGGGTTATTAGCTACTATTGCTAGTGCCATTGCTGCTCCAAAAGCTGAAGCTATTCCATGGGCCAGTGCTAACCCTCACGCTGCTGCTGCTGCTAATGCTTTTGCTGATGCTTATGCTGAAGCCATTGCTTTAGCCCATCCAGATCCTGAAGCCTATGCCTATGCTGCTAGTGCTGATGATTGTGCCACTATTGGTTGTCATGCTTCTTGTGGTTTATTAATTGTTGCTGGTCAAGAATGTTCTAAGAATACTGAAAATACTTTCCAAGGTCCTTATAATACCACTTGTTTATGTTCTGCTGGATCTCAATTCAACCAATACTATGCTCCATGTATGAATTGTGGTTGGACTTTATGGAAATATTATGGTGGCTACGTCAGTTCTGCTTTAGCTGCTTGTGAAACTTTATCAACTGAACCAACCGGTACTTTAAGATGCTCTACTACTTTAACTGATTCATATACCATTGATACTAGTATGAGAGCTTGTGAATACACTGGTGGTTGTCCAACAACTACTTCTACCACTTCATCAAGTTCTACTTCTACATCATCATCTTCAAGTGTTGCTTCTTCTACGTTATCATCATCTTCATCATCATCAATACCAAGCTCAACAAGTGCTGCTTCCACATCAAGTTCTACAAGTGCTGCCGTCACTTCTAGCTCAAGCTCATCAACAACCTCTGTTTATGTTGGTATCACCAATACTGTTGAAACTGATTTAGTCTTCACTCATACCTATGTCCCAGGTGGTTCTTTAGAAGATTGTTTCACCACAACTAAACAATTCCCAGTTGCCACTAACAATCCAATCGATCACACCGTTGAATCATGGACTGAAAGAGAAGCTCTAGAAGATGGTACTTACAAATTCAATGAATACATTGTATTCAAATTCAATGAAGATCAAGAAGATATTACTGATATTAAAGTCTTAACTGACTCAACTTACACACTTGCACCATTATTACCAGTCTCAGAATACTGGATCAATTTGAAGCAAGGTTTCTTTGGTCATTTTATCTCAAGATCTACAAATTTGCCAGCTTACAGTATTGCTCTTGTTATCACTAAAGGTGATAAAAAATTGTTATATACATATACTTGTGACAATAGATTTGCTGTTAGATATATGGAACTTGATCTTGGTGATTATGATTCATGTCAAGCTTGGGGTACAATTGGTTACTGGGGTAGCCCAGATCTCTACTGTAAGCAAAGAAGTGAAGCTGCTACTACTACTATTGATTTCAGACCTAAAGCTTCATCTTCAGCTGCTTCATCCTCTTCAGTTATATCATCAGAATCATCAGCTGTTTTATCTTCATCCTCTGTTGCTTCATCTTCTGCTATTGCTTCATCATCAGAATCATCAGCTATCTCATCAGAATCATCAGTTTCCTCTTTTGAATCATCAGTCGTCTCATCAGATTCATCAGCTATCTCTTCAGAATCATCAGTTGTCTCTTCAGATTCATCATCAATTTCTTCATCAGAATCATCAGCTGTGTCATCAAGTGCTCCAATTGGTTCAGCCATTTCCTCAGATGGTTCTTCAGAATCTTCAGCCATTTCCTCAAATGCTTCTTCAGAATCTTCAGCCGCTTCTTCAGTTGCTTCAGCTATCTCTTCAGAATCTTCAGCTGTTTCATCAGAATCTTCAGTTGCCTCATCAGCTGCTTCATCCTCAGAAATTTCATCAGTTGCTTCATCAGCCTCATCATCAGTTTCAGCATCAGCTTCATCTACTGATGAACTTTCATTAGATGGTGAACTTGTCAACAATAACCCAGAATGGACTTTAAGAATCCCTTCAGCTTATGCTCCATGGACTTCAATTTCTATTGAAGCTTCTCGTGGTAGTGTTAACTTTAAATATGACTCAGCTGTTATTACTGTTAATGGTGAATCACAATCTGTTACACCGGAAGTTTTAGAAGAATCAATTACAATTAATATTGATTTTACTATTAATGATGGTCAAGTCTTAGAAGTTGTTTTCGGTGGTACAAGAGATACTAGTGGTCCATTAACTGCTAATGTTGATTTAGTCATTACTACTGCTGATGGTAAAAGATTTGCTAAGAGAGCTACTCAAACTTTCAACTTGAGTAATACTATTGAAGAGCCAACTGTTGGTACTTCATCTGGTGTTTCTTCTGCTGCTTCATCGGTTGCTTCAAGTGTTTCATCAGTTGCTTCATCTGTTTCCTCTGCTGCTTCAAGTGCTTCATCCGCTATCTCTTCAGCTTCAGATGCTTCAGATTCTTCAGCTGCCTCAAGTGCTTCATCTGATTTATCATCAGCTTCATCAGCTATCTCTTCAGCTTCAAGTGCTGCCTCATCAATTTCATCTGATGTTGCTCCACAATCAACCTCAACTACTGCTGTTTACCAAAACTCCACCACTTTAGTTACTGTTACTTCATGTGATGAAGATAAATGTTCAGAAGTTCCATCAACTGCTTTAATTTCAATTGCTACTACTACCATCAATGGTGTTGTTACTTCATACACAACTTATTGTCCATTAACTACCACTTCAGCTCCTGTTCCAGCTCCAACTACTGTTACTGAAGAACAAGATTCTACTAAAACTACTTTAGTCACTGTTACTTCTTGTCATGAAGATAAATGTTCAGAAGTTGTTTCAACTGCTCAAGTTTCAATAGCTACTACTACTGTTAATGGTATTGTTACATCATATACTACTTATTGTCCATTAACTACTGAAACTGGTGTTAAAACTAGTACTCAAACTAAAGATGAATTGAGAACTGTTACTGAAAACTCCACTAAAGTCATCACAGTCACTTCATGTCATGAAGATAAATGTTCAACTTTTGAATCAACTACTGAAGTTCCAGTTACTACTCATGTTGTTAATCCATCAGGTTCAAACCCAGCTCCATCTGATGTTACTTCATACATCAATCAAGTTTCAACTTCTTATTACACAAATGTTGAAAAAGGTACCACTGTTACTTCACAAACTGTTGAAACTAATGTTGGTCCAGCTCCATCTCAAGTTGGTTCAACTTCAAGAACAGGCGGTGCTTCCACTGCTGCTTCAACTGATGTTTCAACTCCAGTTGTTCAACAACAAACTGAAGGTTCAAGTACAACAGGTACTGCTACTACAGCTCAAATTTCCACATTTGAAGGTTCAGCATCAAGATTATTAAGCTCAAGTATTTTTGGTTTAATCTTTATGTTATTCATTTAACTAACTTAGTTGCATGTTGTTTCTTTCATTTTATGAGTTATAATATTTGGTTTTTTATGAGCTGTTTTGGGTTTTTATCATTTCTAAAGTTTTGAATTTGATCTTTGATTTCAAAAGATTGGAAAAACTTTCATTATCAATCATTTATGGTTTGATATTTATTCTACTTATACCCCCTCTTCTGTTTTGGTGTTTTCCATTCAAAGTTTGTTAATTATTTGTCTTGTTTGGAAAGGTGTCTAACCTAATATAGTTTAAAATTTATTGTTTTGGAATTTGATTTAAAAGGTTGATATGTGATTGTATAACAATTTCCTTCAATCAAAATGTTTTACAAGTGTTTGAAATTTGTATATATTAAGTTTGTAGTTTATAAGAGTCTTCTACCATTACGTTATAGCTGGCCTAGATCTGTAATTCAGGTACTAATTAATATTTCAAAGTACTCATGAAATTAGTTGATCACATGTAACGTATTTTAGTTGTTCAATGTATAGAGCGACATGAGATTAGCTTAAAACCTCCACATTGAGTTGTCGATGATAGTGTACGTTCTAGAAGGATTACCATTCAGTATATATGGGCTTCATACTATAGTAACCATGCTTCTATAATTTGAATACGAATATGATAATCCTAGCACCTTGTAGATCGGAACATTTAAACAACCTAAATGAAATATAGAATCCTTCTATTGCATCGGATTATCCAGGCCTTGTCATCTAATAGGGCCATGATCAGGTACATACTACATACTAACCGATATAGGTTACCTCTTAATTCTTGTTTCAAAAGTCCGTAAATGTATAGTGTTTAACCTTGTCAATATGGAATTCCTAAAGAAGTTAACAACTCTTAATCTAGCCATGGCCCATGGTATGTGGTATATACGTATCCCTTGATACACGTTTAATAATATTAGTTAGACACTATATACTTAGCACGGTTAACTTAATTAAGTAAATGAAATTAGAAAGAAGAAACTTTCCAGCTTGAAATGGTTAAATTAAAGGCTTTGTAAGACATATGAATTGACATAAGAGGACAGGGAATTTAAAAGGGAAAATGAGAAAATCCATGTTTCGTATGTATGTTCAAGTTTAAGAAGTACATGTTTAACACAAGGAATTAATTAAGTATATGCAAAGTTTGAAACCCCGAAATGCAATGACTTTAAGAGTCTGGAGGAAACTTGAAGTACAAATTAATTTTGATACCATTTCTAGTTCTTAACATATGCTACATGCTACATGGATCATAAATTATGTTACTAATTACCAATTTCATAAACTCTTGTCTTTATGAATTCATGAACTATATCCATAGTTACTTTATCTGGTAAGTTTTTATTTAACCTAGGTCCTAATCTAATTCTATAGCAACGACGCAATTGAATATATGATAAAGAAGGTTTTAACTTTTTACAACAGTTGATAATCTGGTGAATCACTGGATTTATCTTACGTCAATTGCTGTCAAGTGACATTTTATATAGTAGATTGTTGTTATAGAAGGTAACTAAGAATTAAAATGGTTGCTATGAAAGGTACTGGAACGTTATAGATTTATTTTAAAGGGTTTCATTATAATGAATGAAAACTTTGCCGGTTAATAGCCTAATATACATCAAGTATGTATGAGTAACTGAGAAACTAGAACTGAGCATTAGTACTAGTTCAAGTACTAGGTAACTACTAGAAGTAGACAACTTGAAGCACTATGCACGGTATAAACTCGAGATTAAGTTATTTAAGAAGTTAGCATGAGATGAGCAGTTGTACAGAATAAAATTGAAATTTATCTGAAAGTTTCCTAAAAGGGTATAGTAATTAATACGCGTCGTGAAATTGGAAATTGGATTTACCAAATCTGAGCCTAACTTGAATGGGAAAATGATTGTTTGTGATAGGAATAGAGTGTGATATAGAAGGTTGTAGAAGAGAATACCATCTTGTCTTGTTGGTGGTTTGCTCGTAGTTCTTGTTGTTGAGCCTGGATATCCTTCCTTGATATCCCCAGCCTAGATATCCAAAGGGGGAGCCAGATTCCAGACAGACTCTGCCCAGTGGCTCTGCCGCTCTGCCCAGTGTCCCTGTCTAAGCACCGCTGGCTCCCCCGAAAGGCACGCGTTGTATGAAAAGGCACTGCGACGCGTCTCAAAGGAACGTATCAAAATTCCCAAAATAACCATAATCGCTTCGAAATCTCTACTTAATTAAACCAACTTGCACATTTACAAAACACTTTCAATAATCACTTTAACAACCATTTCTTTATCAACAATAAGCTGCTAATACCCTATAGCTACTAATACATCAGAACCATAATGCTACTCAACAAGTTCCCACTACATTTACAACTAAACACTGGTCTAAGAGATGAAGATACCATAATGAGAGATGCTTTACATACCCCTATAGGAACTCCAAATGGTGTTTCAACTCCAACTGAACAAGTTAATTTTAATAATTTACAATGGTTTGAACAAGGACCTCCAAATCCACCAAGATATGGTAGAACAGGTTCCACATCATCAATAGCTTCATCAGTTTCAAATTTTTCAATGAATAATAATCAGAATGAATTTAGTTATTCAAATTTTGCTTCAAATTATAAATTAACTGAAATTTTTGAAAAATTATTAATGGATACTTATATGAATTATCAAATGAATCCAACTATAACTCCATTCAATGAATCAAATCCTCCTTATGGAGTTGTTAATAAAGTTTCAAAAGATGCTTTGAATGCAGCTATGAATGAAAATATTGAAATTGGAATTGAAATTAATAATTATTCATTAACTATAATACGTCAAAAATTATTACAACTTTGTCATAAAGATATAGTACATACCCCTTCAACATCAAGACAAAATTCATTCCAAGGTGGATTAAATTTACAATCAAAATTTAATAACATTCCATCAGGTTTAAATACACCAAATAACATACAACCACAACAACAAGGACAAATGACTGAATATTTCAATTTTGAACATCCTTCTGTTCAACAACAATTAAACCAACCACCTCCAGCATTTGGTGGATTACAACCATCATTTGAAGCAACTCCATTAGCAAACCCATATCCAAGACCAACAACTCCACAATGTCAACAATTTTCTGGTCCTCCACCACAGGCAAGATTAGAAAGATCAGATTCAAATGCGTCAAATTCAAATATGTATCCTGATTTATTTAATGTTACAAGTAATAGAAAAAGAGAAAGTTTAAGATTGAAAAGAACTGGGAATCAAATTACTTATAATTAATAGGAACTATTCATCTTTTCATTTGCATCTTTTTTCTCTTCTGTTACTGGTCATGGTTTCTAATGCTTTTTGGGTTTCTTCAATTCTTGGATTTCTCTTTTAATATACTTTTTTTTTTCTTTCTTATTTTATACCCAGTGTTTCTTTTATATGACATTCTACTTTATTATGATTATATGGTTATGGTATGGGATCTAATCAATCGGTTGTATCATTAAAAAAAATATTGTTTTGGTTTACTTTTTATATATAAAAATGCAAAAGACATGGGCTAAAAAAACAAATAACGTTATTGATTTTTTTATTTGGTTTATATGTGTGTATTTTATAATTATAAATATCATAAAAATGGACTTCTATATTTAACATACTTGTAAGACTATCATTCATATTCTTCAGATAAATTTTGTAATTCTTTACGAAGTGTTCTATATCGTATTTTTTCATTAAGTAATTGATCTTGTAATTTATCAATTTCATCAATACTTTCACCTTGAGTTTCATTTAATAATCTAGTTTCTAATCCTTGTAAAAAGACATCTAATTTATCATTCAATTCTTGTTTTTTCTGTATATTATTATCAAGATCTAATGATCTTTGTCTTAATATCTTTATGTATTCTTTAGATTGACTTATTTGAGAATCTGTATAATTATTTGCTAATGAGATACCCAAAGTATCACCTCTTTCTATATTGAATGGTATTTTCTTATTTGTTTCAAATATACCAGGGATTTCTTGGTTAATGGGTATATTTTTGGAGATATTTGATTTGGCTAAGTTTATGAAATGTTGATATTGATTGATTTGATCTGATAGATGATTTTGATATTTTTTCTCTAGTTCTAGATCTGGTAGTTCTGTTTTTTGGTAAAGTTCTTGTAGTTTTTGATATTTTGACATTATGGATTATATGAAATCTATGAAGTAAGAGATGATCTTAAGGACCTTTCTGAGACTCGTTGTATCTGATTTGATTGTGAAAGTTGTTTGTTTACATTTCATGGGTATTAATATTATTTTTACATAATCGCGCCAAAACCATAAATGTATTTTTTATAAAAGCAAGATCATCATCAACAAATTGATTTCCTGGTTATTATTCAATTCAATTGATACCAACTATTCACTATCAATAATCATGTCATTACCAGAAGGATACACAGTCAGAAGACTTCAAGAATCAGATTTCAAACGTGGAGTTCTTGATGTTTTAACAGCTTTAACAACCGTTGGTGACCTTTCAGAATTACAATTCAATAATATTGTTACTAAATGGGATTGTTTAACTTTAATGAATGGGAAACCAATTTATAACCCAGTTGTAATCATAAATGATCAAGATCAAGTCGTAGCAACTGGTATGATTTTCATTGAAGAAAAATTAATTCATACAGGTGGTCTTGTTGGTCATATTGAAGATATTGCAGTTAGAAATGATCAACAGGGGAAAAAATTAGGGAAATTTTTAATTGAAGAATTGAAAACTATTGGTCAAAAAGCTGGTGTTTATAAAATTATATTGGATTGTGATCCAAAAAATGAAGGTTTTTATGAAAAATGTGGATTTAAAAATGCTGGTATTGAAATGCAATATAGATTATAAGTGGAATCTATACATTGTTAACTACAAAAAACATCATATTTACCCATGAATTTAATATTTATTAGCTATTGTACATTGTTATAATACCTTCTTTATTGTAGTATATACCATTCTCATCATATACTTTCTAAACTTTCAATACTAAGAATTGAATTACCTCTTATAACAGCACTTCCTATTTGAATCTTATCTTTTGTTTCATCAACAGTTTCTTCTAAAGTCACATTCATAAAGATCTTATAAGTTAGTATTATAGCCACTGAGTTCTATAATTGATTTAATACTTACATCATAACCTCTAAGATTCCCTGTTATCTTTCTTGAACCATTTAACTGTATCAAGACTCTTTTATCCATATACTGGGATTTTATTTGTTAGTAAACAGGATCATTGACCTCAAACTGCTTGAAATATATCACTCACTTTCTTTAACTCTGGAGCTGAAACCATTTTCTTTTGCTTGTATCAATCTAGTGAAATTATCACTTGTCGTTTATTATTGAATTATCTTCTTCTTCTTTTTGGTTCCAATTTTTCAAATATTAAATTTTATAGAATTTCGCGGCTATTGTTTTTGTTTACTTGTTTGATTTTATACCATTAGAATATTTAAACAAAAGTTCATAAACTTGAGTTATTATTGGTTAATTTTTAAATTTTTATTGTTGAATTGAACCTATTGATCACAAGTTACCTATATATCTTTTTCCCGGACACTTTACCTTACAAAATGGATCCCTTAGGTCTTTTTTCAGAAGATACACCAAGAAGAAACACTTCACAAATTGCAAAATTATCTTCGCCAGTTCAACAAACAGATACACTTAAAAGTTATGAGTTAGAAGTTAAGAGAGAAGAATTATTAAGGAAAAGAAATGCCTTAAAAGAAGAAGTTTCCAACCTAGAAAATCAATGGAATGAAATGAGAAATAATCTTGAAGTTGAAGATATAAATAAAGAAGAAGATGATTTGATATGGAAGTTATTGATACAGAGAAGTGAACATACCACCAAAGAAGAAAATGATGCTGGAAATGAATTGATTAATGATGCTGAAGATCTTGATATGTTCAGTGCAAAACCTTCCAAAGATTGGAGTTTAAGGATTGAATATTTAAAGAAATTTTATCCAGATTTAACAATAACAAATCAAGAATCTAAGACCTCGTTAACCTATTCAGAAGGTTCTACAAGACCTAATATACTTAAAACCATATCATTTGATCTATCATATCCAAGAAAGATCATTGCCCTGGATGTTAAGATACATCTAATCAAGTTAGACAATATTTTCAAGACAAATCATCTTGATATTATCAAGAGGTCAAATAATAAATTAAATTCCATAATTATAGAAATAATAACATACTTCACAAGATCTAAAAACATCAATGGATTATTATCAACTTTAAATTCATTATATACAAAGTTACAAACCCGTCAATCAACATTACAAGAATTGAATGATGAACTACAACAAAATACTAAAATCAATATACTACAATCCCAAATAACACATCAACAATTAGTGCTTCATTGGGACTTCATATTCAAGGATGGTACTATAATTACAATTACAAATGTTAATGATTCGTTAAACACTGTGTTTACAGATCTTTTGGAACAATATTCAGTCAAATCTGCGTTTTTGAAACTGGTTGAAAAGATATATACATCATCAACCACAGAAGAAGTATGATAACCCTACTAATCAATAGAATTAATGAATGAATGATGTCTAAAAGTAGATATTTCCATGTAAATTTAACATTTCGCTTATCAAATCAATACCCGCGAATCCTCAGTTTCTGTTGATTTGATTTTTACACGAAGTTCAAAAAGTTCAAAGTTAAGAACAAATTGGAGAAAAGCTCGAAAAAACACGTCGGAAAAAAAACAAAGTTGTTTGAATTGGGAGTTTTAAAACACAATTGGAATTCAGGATCAAAAATAGAAATCAACTTAGTTGAAGGTTGTTTTCAAGGTGGTTTATTAAAGATCATTCAACAAAAGATCAAAAAAAAAATTTGAACCATGGTACAACGTTACGATCCTATTCATGATGTGCTGGTGGACACTGGTGATGAGAAGCACACAAAAGAGGAAGCTAAAATTGATTCGGAACATCAAAATGGATCTGTTGAGACAGTGGCGAATAAAGAAGATACAAATGAAGAATCACAAGACAATAAAGAACCGCTAAAGGAATCAACTGATGGAAATAGTACTGGTGATGTTCATAATGATGCATCTCAGGATACTGAAGAAGAAGTGATTGAACCAGAACAAGAATTAGAAACAACAGAATCAACATCAAATTCAACACCAACAGTGGCGACAACAACAACATCTGCATCAACAAAACCAATAGAATCAGCATCTACATCATCAAATACTCCAAATAAAAAGCATAAATTATCACCATCACCAACTAAAACTCCGTTGAAAAAGTTTAAGAAACATCAACATAAAAGTGCCACTGTATTAAGTTCAGCTCGTTCACGTCATTTGAAAAAAGATGATGGTCGTCCATTCTTAAGAAAAGATATCCAATTTCAATTCCTAAAAGATCTTTTTGAAGATGATACAAAAGCTTTTATTGATCCATATGAAGATTCAAAAGATAGAGTTGTAACTGAACCATATTCACCACATAAATTAACATTTGCAGAATTATATATCAAGACCATTGCACATAGTTCAAAATGTTCCAAGATATTAAGAGATCGTTTATTAAATGATATGAATATGAGTATTCCAACAAGTATGATTTGTCTTTTGGTTAATGTTGGTAGAATGAATACAACAATTAATTTTGTACCTGATATGAAATCTCAATTGAGAACTTATCATTCAATTCCATGTTTACAAGTTGATTATGATGCATCTGAAAATAAATTCAATTCTACAGGGAATGGAGGTGATAAACAATTACAAGATACTCCAAGATTAAAATCCATATTAAAAGCATGTTGTGATGATACTGATGAACCAAATGCTTTAAATTTATTAAATGGAGTTGATAAATTCCCCAAGACAAATGTTATCAATATGATTTTTTTACTTTGTAATGCAGAAGATACAATAAATAAAAGTTATTTAGAAGAATCTGGTTATGGATTTTTCGATATTTTTATGAATAGTGAATTTGATCCAAAGGAAAGAGTTAAATTATTTTTATGGTTAATCTTTGCATATTTAGAAACAGATTTAAGTTCATTACAACAACGTGAAAAAAATCCATTTGGTTTAGAAATTCCAATTTTAAATAAAACTGATAAAGAATATGATGTTGATACACCTGAAGAAGTTGAATTTGGTAACAGATTATATGAACAGAGAGTTAAATTCTTAGCAGAAGATTCAACTGAAGCAGGTGATGAACAAACAAAGAAACATGACAAGGTTGATAAAAAGGATAAGAAAGATCATACACCAGCAAAACAAAATAATAAATTGGATAAGACACCAGCAAAACAACAACAAACAAAACCTAAAGTTGAATTGCATCAAGACTCAAATATACAACAACACCAAAAACAAAATACACCGCAACATAATATTCATTTACGACTACAACCTCAACAAGAACTTACAACTCAACAATCTCATCAACAAAAGCAAACAACAGTTCAACATCATAGTAAAAGAACATTTCAATTCCCAGTTTTACCTAAAAATGATATTGATACAGATAGTGTAAGGAAATCATTGAAATATCTTGGTCGTATATCAGGTAAAAAGAGAACTAAATTAGGACAATTAAAATTTGAACATAAAAAAATAGAAGAAGAAGAAAAAGCAGAAAATTCAGAACCAATCTTACCATCATCAGCTGGTGGTGCAACAAATAATAGAATTAGATTAAAAGATTATAAAGGTGATTATGCGGAAAATAGTGATAAATTTAATACACTGTTTAATTTCTTGAAAAATGATTTTGTTGAGATGGTTAAGGCTGATACAATTTCTGAAGCTGTTATTACATCTGAATATCAAGATATAAATAAAGATTTGACATTAAGTAAGTTTAGTATTGATTTATAGAATTTTTTAATGATGTGAATGAATGAACTATATTGAAGTATAATGTCGTAGCTAATGAATACAGCTTCATAACAATCAATTAATTAGCTATACATTATATATTGAGATATGTAGAGAAATGAAAATTGAATTTAAGAATGCCAATCAGATATATCAACATTATCATTTATGCTTTGACCTCTTAGATTTTGATGCATTGTCCCTCAAACTTTCAAGCATGGATAAGCACCCAGGATCACATTCATTGACTTTCCCAAAAGTTGCATTATTAAAGTTGGTCAAGTAGATTTTTCCTTTAGCTAAGACAATATCTTTTTCATCAATGTAATCTAATTGAATACCAGCTTCATTCAAAAGATTGACTTGTTCAATAGCTTGTTCATAGTGTTGTTTTGTAGAAGGTCTGCCTGTAGCATGCTCATGGATTATAAATTTACCAGCATAGTAAGAAAAATCTTTGATCTTTAATTTAATATTACCAGTTTTGAAATGTGCCAATGCATTTATTTTTAATCCATTCAGTGTATTGAACTTCTTGATAATACCATATGCCTTCACTTGATTCTTATACATATCCATGAACAAATTTCGAGCTTCTTTCAAACCTAATGCATCACCTTCGGTATAATTTTGAATTTGATATCTCGTTGGATCATAAATGGAAATAGCAACAGGTTCTTGATCATTAATTTTAATTGATTTGACATTTAACAACCTTTTGCAGAGTGCTTTAGAAACTAGTAAAATTTGAGGACCTTCACCAGGACCATTCTGAAATAATGAAATATGATTTTCATCAAATATATCTGGAGCATAATCAATCTCATATGAAGGATAATTTTTGGATTCCCTAAAGTGGTGGTTAACCCAGTTAATCAACGTATGCACAAATTCAACATTGCTTTTCAAGCATATCTCTTTGAGCCTTTGAATTTTCGATATCTTTCTTTTGTAATCTAATTCTGAAAAATTTCTTACTTCATCATCTAACATCCCTAAAATTGAAGCTTTTGCAGTGACACCACTTTTTGTTATATTGACCAATTTGAAAGATATTGGAATTTTAGCACCTGGTTTGTCTGGATGAGATAAGAAATCTTCTAACTGCTTGTTGAAGTCAATCTTCATGAGTATAAAACTATAACCATCCGTCAAACATGAAATTAAAAAATTGCCTGAAATGATTTGGCTAAATACTTGTAAAAACCATGGCTTAAACTTTACCGCTCCAACTTGTAAAAACTCATTGATGCAATTAAATAACTTGACTTCAAAATTAGCTATATTGTAGAACAAATTTGAATCATGAGGCTTGAAAACTATTGTAATATCTGGATATGTATGGAAAGTTTCTTCACATAATCTAAAGTCACCACTTGGAAGGTTTTTGAATTTTTCCATCTTCAGGTATTCTGCCTTCTGTAGAGTTGAAATCAATTCACCACCATCTCTATCTAACAAATAATTGGACAAAAAAACTATTGGTTTCAAAACTTTTGCCAAAATCCATTTAGCGGTTTCCGCTTCATTGAAAGTAACAAAAACGGCCTCATCTAAATTAATAAAACTATCATTGCCAAATTTTAAAATCATCTTTTCAATAACATCATCATCTAAAGATCCCAGTTTCTTTCTGATTTCGTCCAAAATGAGTCTAAATCTTTTTTCAAAATAATCATCTTCAAGTTTTCTGAAAATCACTTTATTGTATATATTTTGATTCAGAGAAGCTCTTGCAACAGAATTTCTTGTTGGAACACTTGTAGTATGTTTTTTCTTCCAAAGATATTTGAACCCAGGGAAAGACACCAACCCAAGAGAAGGAAATAAAAGCACCGTTCTAGCAATCAAAAGGACTCCTGCTAACTTCTGATTATTCAATGAGCCAAAACATAATCTGGTAACATTTGGAATCAACACATGCTTTTCAAAATCTATAAGAGCATCCTGAACTTGAAATGGACTAGTTGAAGTGGAAAGATCCACTGTAAAATGTTTCCTCAATAGCTCTATGTAACCTTGTATAACTGTTTCATCATCATTTAATAAATCAGAAAGTTGTATGTACGAAATTGCCTCCTCGTGATTGGCCTTGCTAATGGATGAACCCATGATTTAAATGATGTAAAACTCAATAAGCAGCTTTAATTTATAAAATGATTTGGGATGGTTATAATGGATAATCTCTGGTGATACTAATATACATAATACCTTAAAAAATCCTATAACTTATAACAATGGAAAATTACACAAAACCTTCAATACCGGTGCTATGCATTTTGAACTTATCAGAAGGTCCAGTCATAATCAAAGTTTGATTTACTCTTGCAATTGAGATGACAACGTATAATAATGATCTCTTGTTGTTGACTATACCTTCAGGTTTATCATTTGAGAAATTTTTACTAGATTTCATCAAGCTTGACTTTTTAGATCATAATAACTTTGGATATTGACCACAATATATTCAATTGATGTGCAAAATTGTAAACGATCATATTCACTCTAGTTTGAAGCCAATCCACCATAACCAATAAGCATGACCTGCAGTAAAGTGTCATAAGCTAACAGTAACTGGGGAAACTTTTTCTCGAGTTAAACTTTAAAGTTTAAAGAACTATGGTAACGAGTGCTCATTTACCCGGTGTTGATACGGCTTGAAAAAACAACCATGGTCAGGTGTTATTACATTTAGTCACCTGATAGTTAAATCAGGGCAACATTTATATATGATTCTAAAATTTGATTGAAATCTCAAATTCCTACATCAAATTTAAGGGCTTTGTAGCGATGGTTAACGAAGGTAAAATTTTGAAACTTTCATAATTTCTGACTTTCAAGGTATCGAAAATGCCTTTCACATCAAGCAAATTTGGTATTGGTTTGATATAGATTCTTTGAATGCCGTGAATGAATGAGCTATAGATTGAAGTATATATAATATCGCTGCAGCTAATAAATAAAATTGTTCATAACAATATAAACAATCAATTATTAATTAGGTATATATAATGAGTTATACATTGAAGACCCTTCATTCAGGAGAAATGAAAGTTCAACAAAAGACAACCTAGTCATATAAATGGTATTATTTATGCTTTGACCTCTTAGATTTGGATGCATTGTCTCTTAAGCTTTCAAGTATGGATAAGCACACAGGATAACATTCATTGCCTTTCCCAAAAGTTGCATCATTAAAGTTGGTCAAGTAGATTTTTCCATTAGCTAAGACAATATCTTTTTCATCAATGTAATCTAATTGAATACCAGCTTCATTCAAAAGTTGGACTTGTTCAATAGCTTGTTCATAATGCTGTTTTGTTGAAGGTCTACCTGTAACATGTTCATGAATTATATATTTCCCAGCATAGTAAGAAAAATCTTTTATCTTTAATTTGATATTACCAGTTTTGAAATGTGTCAATACATTTATTTTGAATCCATTCAGCTTATTGAACTTGTTGATAATATCATATGCCTTCACTTGACTCTTATACATATTCATGAACAAATTTTGAGCTTCTTTCAAACCTAATGCATCACCTTCAGTATAATTTTGGATTTGATATCTAGTTGGATCATATATGGAAATAGCAACAGGTTCTCGATCAATAATTCTAATCCATTTCACATTTAACAACCTTTTGCAGAGTGCTTTAGAAAGAAGTAAAATTTGAGGACCTTCACCAGGACCATTCTGAAATAATGAAATATGATTTTCATCAAATATATCTGGTGCATAATCAATCTCATATGAAGGATAGTTTTTGGATTCACTGAAATGGTGGTGAACCCAATTAAACAAGGTGTTAACGAATTCAACATTGCTTTTCAAGCATATCTCTTTGAGCCTTTGAATTTTGGAGATCTTTCTTTTGTAATCTGATTCTGAAAAATTTCTTACTTCATCATCTAACATTCCTAAAATTGAAGCTTTTGCAGTGACACCACTTTCTGCTATATTAACCATTTTAAAACATATTGGAATTTTAGTACCTGGCTTGTCTGGATGTGTTAAGAATTCTTCAAGTTGGTTGTTGAAGTTAATCTTCATGAGTACCAAGCTATACCCATCTGTCAAACATGAAATCAAAAAATTGCCTGATATGATTTGGCTAAATACTTGTAAAAACCACGGCTTAAACTTGACCAACCCAACTTGTGAAAACTCATTGATGCAATTAAATAACTTGACTTCAAAATTAGCTATATTGTAGAACAAATTTGACTGATCAGAAGGCTTGAGAACTAATGTAATATCTGGAAATGTCTGAAATGTCTCCTGAGATAATTTAAAATCATCACTTTGAAGGTTTTGAGATTTTTCCATCCTTAGGTATTCGGGCTTTTGAAGAGTTGGAATCAATCGTACACCATCCTCAGTCAATAGATTATTGTATAATAAGATAATTGGCCTCAAAAAATTTGATAAAACCCAATGTGTTGTTACAGCTTCATTCAAAACAATTAAAGGGTTATCATAAAAATTAAAAAAACCATAGATACCAAATCCTGCCGGGATATACTGCAGAGTTCTATGATCTAAATTTTCCACTTTATCTCCCATCCTAATTATGATCTTATTGAATTTCTTTTCCAACTCTTTATCTTTAATTTCCATAAACTTCACATTTGCGTAAACGTCTTGCTTCAGACATGCATTCACAATTGAATTTTTGGTTGCACGGCTAGTAGATGATCTATTTTCCCAATGAGCATTGAAACCTGGCACAGAAGCTATACCTAGCGAAGGGAATGAGATAAATATTCTTGAAACTAAAAGTAGCCCCAATTTCTTATTAGCATAGAGGCCCTCTGTAAATTTTTGTATGAGTGGGAGCAAGACAGACCTTTCAAACTCAATAAGTATGCTTCTAGCTTCGACTGGATTAGTGGACATTCTAACCTGATGTTTATTCAAAATCTCGAGGTAACCCCTAACAAGAGCTTCATCACTCAATAGATTGGAAGCTATAACTGAAATACCATCCTCGTGGTTTGCTTTACTAAGTGCTGAACCCATAACTCTTAATTATATACACACACACACACACAATTAGCGGCTTTGGTTTTTTGAATGATCTGAAATCTATGTCTGCAATGAATAACCTCTAGTGATACCAATATAATATTAAAACCTTTAAATTCTTAAAACAAGAAGAACAATCAATACTGGTATTATAACAGCTCAACTATCTTAAACTGGGTGCATTTTGATGCTATCTGAAGATCCAGTAGTATTCTAAGTTTGCGTTTCTCTCTGCAATTGAGACGACAATGTATGTTCATCTCCTATTAATTAGTACCTTTAACCTTTAACTTTATGCAGATCATCATTTGAGAATTTTTTACTAGATTTCATCGAAAATGACTTTTCAGACCAGGATATCTATAGATATTGAGTCTTGACCTCAGTATAATTCAAGTGCAATTTTGCATCCAACAACAGTTAACAGTAACTGGGGAAACTATACTTCTCGAGTAGAACTTAAAACTTTAAAGTTTGAAATACTGTGGTAACCAGTGGCTATTTACCCGGTGTTGATACTAGAAGGTTCTTCCATTGAAGTCACGAGTCTCTTAGTGTAGTCACCTGACTAGAAGCTTAGGGCATTTGGGATGTTGATTCGCGGATTTGATACCTACAATTTTTGTACCCACGTGTATTAAGCGCTGCGATTCTCAATTAATGGCTGCATTCGCTTCTCGTTTTAACGCTGTTTTCAGAAAATGTTGATTGTTTGCAGATTGTTGTATAAAATTGATTTATAAATACTGGCTGCCTTCTTTTAGATTCAAACTATCACTATAGACCAAGTTCAATTGTAAAAATCAATCAAGTGTGCTAAGTTTTGGAGCGTTTTTGCTAATTGAATTGCTAGAAAAAGTGTCAAAATGCTATTTGGTGTCAGATTGGATAACGAGATATTCTCACCTTGGAAGGACCATTATATGAAGTATGATGAGTTAAAAAAATTGTTGAAAGAATCAAGTACTGCTCCTAAAACAAACAAGAAGAGTAAAGGTAAAAACAATGATGATGATGGTGTTTTCACTGATCGTGATGAACAAATATTTGTTAGTGGATTAGATGCTGAATTGGAAAAAGTGTATACTTTCCAAAGTTCTCAATATAATAAATTGTTGAAAAGAATTGAGAAAGTGGAAACTACTGTTAACAATTTGGATTTAAACGATGCTACTGGTTCAAAAGATAATTTTGATTGGAGTGGATTACAAAATGAATTGGAAAATATATTGAGTGAATCAAAAGAATTGGATCATTTTGCAAGATTAAATTTCACTGGTTTCCAAAAAATTGTCAAAAAACATGAAAGATTACATCCAAATTATACTTCTGTTAAAGCTTTATTATCAATTAGATTAAAAGAATTACCATTCCATTCTGAAGATTATTCACCATTATTGAATAGAATTTCAAATTTATATGCATTTTTAAGAGAAAACATTGCAAGTACCTCATACATTTCCACTTTTGGATCTCAAAAAGGTTCAGCTTCATTACCAAATGGTGCTTCATCTTCAAGTGTTAACGCAAACATTGATGCTGAATTTCAATCTTTTAAATTTTGGATTCATCCTGATAATTTAATGGAAGTTAAAACTAGAATCTTGAGACATTTACCTGTTTTAGTTTATTCAAATGATGTTAATGATACAAACCAAGGTGATACTTATGATCCAACTATTTCCTCATTATATTTCGATAATGGTTCTTTTGAAATTTATAACTTAAAATTATTAAAGTCAAATGCATCACCAACTTTAAGATTAAGATGGTCTGGTAAATTACATGATAAACCTGATTTATTCTTGGAGAAAAAAGTTGTTGATAAATCAAATCAAGATGAAGATTTACATGAAGTTCGTTTAAAATTAAAAGAAAAATATTTAAAAGATTTTGTTATTAATGGTGATGTTGATGAATTTAAACAGAAAACTCTTGGAAGATTTAAAGAAATGGGGTCATCTGATGCTTATTTAGAATCATTAGAAAGAGATATTGATGATGTTGATAAATTTATTAAACAATATGATTTACAACCTGCATTACGTTCTGTCTATACAAGAACTGCATTCCAAATCCCAGGTGATGATCGTGTTCGTATTACCATTGATTCAGATATTTTATTCATTAGAGAAGATTCATTCGATCAAGATAGACCAATTAGAAATCCAAATGAATGGCATAGAACTGATATTGATCGTAATATTGAAAATCCTTATTCATTATTAAGAAAAAATGAATTTACAAAATTCCCTCATAGTGTTATGGAAATTAAAATTAAAAATACAACAGGTAGAAAAGGTTCAGAATTAAATGGTATCAGTATACCATTTTCAAGAAAACATGGTAAATGGATTGAAGAATTAACTACTTCACATTTAGTTAAAGAAGTTCCAAATTTCTCAAAATTCATTCAAGGTATTGCTTCACTATTTTTAGAAGATGATAGATTAGATATCTTACCATTTTGGTTACCGGAATTAGAAGATGATATTAGAAAGAATCCAAATGATGCATATGAAGAATTAAAAGCTAAACAAAAATCAACAGCTCAAAATAAAAGTAAACTAACAAGATTTTCATCACCAACAAAGCAAAGACCAACCAATATAGCTGAAACCGAAGAACAAGATGAACAAGATGATGCTGATTTAGAAGATCATGAATCATCTGATGAAGAAACAAATGAAACAACTGCTAGACGTTCCAAAAAGAAGAAGAAAACTGTTGTTAATCAAATCATTCCATTCTTTACAGGTTCATCAAAATTAAATGATGTTGACTCTGAAGAAGAAGAAGTTATTTTACCAGCTGGTGTTCAAAAACCAAAAACTTTATTAAAACAAGCGGGTCCAGTTAAAGTTGAAACTAAAGTTTGGTTAGCAAATGAAAGAACTTTCAATAGATGGTTAACTGTAACCACAATGTTTTCAGCATTAACTTTTTCAATTTATTCATCTGTTTCCAAGGCATCAAGTCAAAATTTAGCAGATTTATTAGCATATATTTATTTTGCCCTTACTTTATTCTGTGGTATTTGGGGTTATGTCATTTATAACAAACGTTTAACATTTATTAAATTAAGAGACGGTAAACATTTGGATGCTCCATTAGGTCCATTAGTTGTTGCATTAGGTGTTTTAGGTGCTATAACTATTAATTTCATTGTTGGATTTAGACATGCTGCTTCACAAATTAATATCATGGAGGATGAAAATTTACATCCTTTAATTAGATCTGTTAATGAATTTATGTTTAGATTAGTTGGTGCAAGATCATAGATATGCTGCTTTAGAAACAATCAACTTGTATAATATTATTATTACTCCATGAGTAGAAAAGAAAAGGGTCAAAACCACCAAACACTCTATATATCATATATGAAAATACTTATAATTTAATCAAGATTTTAATACAACTAATTTTATAATTTCGTACAATCATATAAATATAGGAATACGTAGCTAAAAAAAAACCTTTATAAACACAAACATTAATTGATTCTATAGAACACTAGATAATTTATTTTATACACATATATACCAATCACCAAAATTATACATCAAGTTTATCATCAACTCTACGTAAGAAGCCAACAACCCTACCCATATCAACTTCATCAGGATCACTTTCAACAGCCTGTACTAATCCATCCAATATACTATCAATAGTATCTTCTTCAACACCGGTACATAACGCCACGACTCTTCTAAATTTATCCTCTAATTTATCAGAATTTGATCTCAAGTTTTCAATAACTTTATTCAAGATGTTCTCATTTTCTTTATATGCAGTGATACGAGCTTTAAGAACGACTGATGGTGGGATCTCCTGAAGATTTATTGATCTTGGATCTACTTGTTGATTTGGATCTTGTTTCAATTTTTCAAATATTGGCCAAACTCTAAATGGTTCATCTGCATCAAAATCGATATCATGATTACTTACAGAGCCTAAATCTGTAGTTTGTGAAAGGAATTTTTGTTCTTCTTCCTGAGTAGCTTTATCTAAATTTGAAATTTTTTGTTTTAATTCATTTAATTTTATTTCAGATTGTTTTAAAGTTTCTAAATTTTGACGTGATTTGGATAATTTTAAAGTTGATTCACGTAATTTAGAATGTAATTCATCAATTTGTTCTTGTTTGGTATTTATTTCACTTTTAAAATCTGTATCTAATCTTTGTAAAACTTTTTGCATTGAATCTAAAATCTTTGTTGAGCTTTTACCAGTACCATTATCACCAAAAGCACCAGGTAGATTATTAGCATGAACATTATTATTATTACTTGTTGATAATTTTTGTTTAGCTGTAGCTAATCCATTAACATTTATACCAAAATCTATTGGTCTGAGTCCTGCTCTATTAGGAATTGAAGGATCAGCACCAACATCTAATAATTGTTGTACAATTGCCTTATTACCAATTCTTGCTGCAATATTTAAACATGTGTCACCATTTTTATCTGGAGCGTTAACAATTTCATTCATGAACTTCCCCAAAGTAATACCACCTTTTGGTAAATAGGTCCCAGTTTTAACAATCCATTCTAGTAAAGTTTCTAAATAATATCTACTTGCTGCACTTCTCTTCTTAATACCAGCTGTTAGGACAATATGATGTAATATGGAACGACGTTGATGATCTAATAAAGGTATGCATGGATATAATAAATTTAATAATTCATTGAATGAATTTAAATCATAATTATTTGTCACCAAGACTGAACGAATTAATGGATTTTCACCAGTATTATTACCTCTGATTCGAATTGAGCCACGACTTACTAATTCTGAGACTAATGGAATTCTAGCTAAAGATGCTGCCCAATGTAATGCAGTATGGCCTGATTCATCAATTGAAACATCTAAATTAACACCAGCTAGTTCAGACTCACCACCAACTGCTTCTGCTAATGATATAGGATCATTAGACATGAAAACTTGTGTTATGACTTCTTTGGAGTGTTCATATCCATCAACGAAACCTGATAATGGCTCGAGAGTGAATGGTGTATTTGGATTCTCAATATTCAAATCATGATCATAAGTTTCAAACCCAATTTTGGAATTTTTACCGTTACCATCAGGTCCTAAACCGTGTATACTATGACTTGTATTTGGTGATAATTTTTGTTTCTTAGTAGGTGACTCTGAGGTATCTATTAATTCAGTTTCATCATTTTCAGTTAAAGTTGAATAAGATCTACCTAAAGTTGAAGGTTGTTTTTGAAAATTGAATGAATCTTGGAAACCAGACTTTTTTCTTTGTGCAGCAACTGCTTGTTCCTTAGTTGGTGTGTCATTTGCCTCCACACTTGAAACGTTATAAAGAAATAAATCTTTCAAATCTAAATACACATTATATTGTTGAGATAGTGCAACAGCTCTATCATAGGGTATCCAAGTACCTTGAAATTTTCCATATCCACCTTGAACTTTTTCATGAACCCCAGTATGGACCTCTTTCTCAAGAATCTTGGTTCTTTTACTCTTGTCTAGTCCGGCAACTTTCAGTATTTGTGTAGCATTGAAAGAACTATCATTTCTTCTTCTCATCACGGATACACCACGAATATTGGTCTCTAAAACTTTTGTACCCGAGTAAGCAGCTGTGTAAATGGAGTTCAAATCACTGGTGGAGTTTCTGTAAAAAGAATCGTTGGCTGCACTGGCGTCTATTTCAGTAGCATTGATATCCTGTTGAGTAGCATCTTCATCATCCATGTTTAAAGACATCCTTGTATCTTTGATATACGAACTTTTTAAATTGAAAACGGGTATTAAATGAGCTTCTGGTTCAAATTAAATGGAGAAAAAAACACAATGAGGGTATTTCACGGTCTGATAATTCAAATAGCACAATATGATAGCTCAAAACAGCTCACAATCTAGCATAAACCCTGAATAATACACACTGTTCCACGTATTTGAACTTTATTAAAGTCGCGTCAAAACAAATTCAATTTAATGGAAAAATCCCAAAAGGGAAATTTCGCGAAGTCTGTGTGCAATTTATAATTTTCGCGAATTGTGTTTTTACCCTGAAACTTTTGAAACGTATAAACAAAAACAAAACAAAACAAAACAAAATTCAACTGATTTGAAACAATTTGAAAAGATTATTGGAAGGGATTTCAAAGGGAATTGTTTATTGGAAAGAATTATCAGTACGGTATCATGTCGCTAGAGAGAAAAGCCTCTGCGCTGGGGAGAAAGAGAAAGAGAAACACCGAGTTCAACCCAAATGTTCACTCAAACAGAAAGATCATCACCTCATCGCATCTCCACAAGGATTCCACATATAGTACTCCAATCAAGCCTAAGAGCGTACCAGAGAACTTCAGTAGGTCCAAGAAGAAAGACTGGACAAATGTTGGTCAAGATAAACAAGATCAGGATGAAGACCATGCTCAGGGCTTTGCACATCAATTGTTCTCAAAGATCATGGATGTGGTGAGTCGAAAGACAAAAGCATTGATATATAAGCATGAAACACAAGAATCACCAGATGAAACCAATGGTGCTAAGAAAAGGAAAGTCCATCATAGTGAGAAGAAACAAGAAAGATCAAATAAATCAAGTAGTAAATTGAATAACAAGAACCTTGAGCAAACATTAGAAAAAAATCCATTTAATCCAGACATTAAAGATGATTATAAGAATGTTTCATTCACTAAATCACCAATAGAGTGGGATTTAAAAGAGGATTTGAAGAAAAATGCTGAATCATCAAATGGGGATTATGGATCAACTTTTTACAGACGTAAAGTTAATAAGAAAATACCAAATTCTGAATCAAAATATTTGAGATCATTATACAATGGTCATTATAAAGCACCATCACCATCCATAACTACACCTCCAACACCAAGAACCCCTGTTGAAGATGACAAAAGGTTGTTATCATCCTTACAGACATTAACTGAAGATCTTAGAAAGAATTGGGGTAATAAAGTTAAAAGAGCCACTGATGATGATGTTATAATTGTTAAAGAAGTTAAATTACCTCCAGCTACTCCATCATCATACTCATTAACTTTTGATACAACAAGATTAACATTTGAAAATGAATTTAAATATTATCAAAGAATCTTGAATGAAAAGAGAAAAATTCAAGATGAAATTAAAAAGGATAAACTTGAAGCTGAGACTGCATCAAAATTAATTCAAAAATTATCAGATAATGATGAAGAAAAAGTTGTAAATATTTGGAAATCAAGAGGGAAAGATACGCTTACTATTTTACAAGCTTTTAATATTGATGTTAGAGTTATGGATTTTAAAACTTTAGCAGATAAACATTGGCTTAATGATGTTGTTATAGAGTTATTTCTCAAGAGTCTTATCACTGATAAAGTTTATGCATTCAACTCTTATTTCTTCACAACTTTAGAGAATAAAGGTTATCAAGGTGTTAATAGATGGATGAAAAGAGCTAAAGTTAATATTTCCAATTTAGATAAAGTTCTTGTACCTATAAATGTTCATCAAACACATTGGGTTCTTGGTGTGATTGATTTGAAAAATAAAAAAGTCCTTTATATGGATAGTTTAGCAACAAGGAAAACTCCACATGGTGAAAGAGCATTAAATTTAATGTATGAATTTGTTAAAGGTGAAACTAATAAACAAGGGGTACCTAAACTGGCTGAAGGATATACATTTGAACATTTATTAGATGTTCCACAACAACAAAATGGATTTGATTGTGGTGTTTTCACTTTACTCAATGCATTTCATATCTCTAAAAATGAACCATTATCTTATCAACCTTCAGATGCTACTCTTTTCAGACGAATCATAGGACATACCATTTTGGGAATGTCACCTAAATAATGAAGCTCATTTTAACGAAATAAACAAGTTTTAATTACAGAGATGTAGTTCTTTTAGATCGTAGTTTAGTTTTACTTGATTTGTCTTGATATACTATAAAGTCCGATGGGCTCATAATCTTTCTTCTCCATAAAAAACAAATCAACTTTTGTACTCATCTTGGAGACCTCCCACAGTTGAACACTAAGAACAAATACAAAACACAATTGAACAATGTCACACCAAAAAGACCTCAAGAAACTAGCAGCTCTATTGAAATCCAAATCCCAACCAAAAGTCATTTTCATGCTTGGTGCTGGTGTCTCAACATCTAGTGGTATTCCAGATTTCCGTTCCCCAGATACAGGTTTATATCACAATTTACAATCATTAAACTTACCATACGCAGAAGCTGTTTTCGATCTTTCATTTTTCAAATCAACCCCAAAGCCTTTCTATACATTGGCTCAAGAACTTTATCCTGGTCAATATGTCCCTTCTAAATTACATTATTTTGTTAGATTATTACAAGATAAAGGTTTATTACAAAGAGTTTATACACAAAACATCGATACTTTAGAAAGGGTTGCTGGTGTGGAAAATGATTTCATTGTTGAGGCACATGGCTCATTTGCTGAGAATCACTGTATTAAATGTGGCGATAAATATTCAAATGATGAGTTTAAAGCTAAGATCTTCGCAAAGGAAATTCCAAAATGTTTAAAGTGTAAAGGTCTTGTTAAACCTGATATTGTGTTTTTCGGTGAAGGTTTACCTGAAAGATTCTTTACATGTTGGGAAGAAGATCTTGAGTTATTAGAAAGTGCTAAAGATGATGAATATATTACTATAACTGCTGGTACTTCGTTAACAGTATATCCATTTGCATCATTACCGAGTGAAGTACCGAAATCTCATAATAGAGTCTTGGTTAATAAGGAGAAAGTTGGAAGTTTCAAACAAAATAGAACAAATGACCTGGTTTTCTTGAAAGATTGTGATGGGTTTGCTCAAGACTTAGTTGATGAACTAGGTTGGACAAGTGAATTTGAAGAACTTATTGCTAAAGAGAATCAAAAAATTAAAGATGGTAAACAAGACAAAGAATCAAAGGAATCTAATGATTCTAGGGAATCTGCTAAAGAAAAATCAAAAGATGTTGCTAAAGATGTTGCTAAAGAAATTAAGAAACACGATATTGATGAAGAAAGTTTAGAGAAATTAAAAGCTGGTATTGAAGATTTAAATATTGCTAAATCGAAAGGACCAGAATCTAAAAGTATATAATGAATTACTCCAAAAACTTGAAGTATATGTATTTGTGTTCAATTCATAAGTCATTATATATGCGTAAATTTCTTCAATAAGATAACCAAAGAACTTGATAACCACAGGTGGATATAATTATAATATTCTCATACATGTCAATCACTGGCATTATTTAGCTTGCTAGATATCATGATAGCACTATAAGTAGAATCAGTACAACTAGATGTTATAAATACAGCTCTAGCAGTGTTTATAGTCAACAGATGTATTGGAATATTGTAAATTATTGGTACGTCGTGTGGGCTTATAATAGTTTAAGCGTGTTTGTCTAGATGTCCACAGAATCCCGAATTTTATACGTAAATATTACATTTGAGGTACAGTGAATAATCAACAAAAAGAATTTTCATTAATTCTCTTTAGTTTATCGTAACTCTGTGTACAAGCCGATAAAGTATTGGATACTAGTGTCTTTTTGAATATACGGGGCCTAATTAAGAGGTCATCATTAATGTATCATGTAGCAATATATAAATTTAATATGTAAACTTTGAGATGTATTCTGGGTTGATGTTTGTTGTTTATAGCTTATAATCTGAGCTCTTTTTTGATATATTATAGTTTATGTTTTCTGTCTATGAGTTGTTTTTGAATCTTTATATAAATACCTCTTGAAATGCTAAGTACTAGATGTTCTATTTACTTCAATCTGTAGTACTAATTAATAATATACATAATGGTACTGAACATAATGATTAATACTATTATAACACCACTGAGATCATTTCTATACAAAATTGTTTCTACCTCACATGCTTTATTTATTGAGAGAAATATTTATGAAGCATTAGGAATTTTGTTAGGTTATCCTAGGGGTTTTACTAATAGACCTGGAATTCTTCATTCATTTCATAACACAGTTTATAGACCTTTTTGGAGGTTGAATCGATTATCATTTCCAATAAGATATTATTCAGCTAAAAAAATGAAATATCTATATGATTGGATTGAATATTCCAAATCAATAGCTAAACTACCTCAAATAAAGAGAGATGAAGATTTGGAAGATTTAAAGATCAATGTTATTGATAAATCTGTCTCAAATCATAATGGAACTGCTAATAGAATTAAGCTTCCTATGGAAATTTGGGAAAACATTGCACATATTGGTAAAATTAATTATTCAATGATGATCATTATTAATAAATCATTCTTCTGTACATTTGCGCCAAAAATTTATGATACGTTGAGATTAACAATTGTTTTAAGTCCATTAACCAAGATGAAACTTAATGATGAAGCTTTTTTAAAAAATGGGCCTGATACTATCAAAAATAAATATTATGACTCTTATTCAATTTATGAAAGACATCAAGAAAGTGCAAGCTTTGATTATGAATTTTTAGATACCTCTATTAATGATCAAGATTATTTCAAAGGTATTGATCCAGCTAAACATGAATATTTTAGGCATGATCACCCTCTAATACTCAGATCTGAACTTAGAGGCGAAAGGTTCAATAAACCTTTTGAAGTTCGAAGTTTAAAGAATATTCAATTCATTTTGAAGAATATTTTGCAAAATCCAAATTCAATAATGAAGAAATTCATTAAAGAAATCTTGATAGATATATGTGTGTTTGATGGGTTTGATAAACTCATGACTATGAAACATAGTTCATTAATAACTGGATCAACTAATGGTCATGAATCAATAAAGGAATTGATTGATCAAGTATTAGAACAAAATGAACTTGTTTCAGTTCTGAAAATTAGTGCAGATCAAAATCAAGTCAAACCTTTTCATGCTGCACCCTTGGATGATAACTTTGATCGAATTAGATGGAAAGATTCTCTTGAAGATAAAACAACTAGATTTTTCAAAATTTACAATAATATCAAAACCAAACTAGCTCATGAATCCATAAAACATGATCTTTACTCTATATTTCCTCAAAATGTTTATTATAAAGAGTTGTTAAGTGTCTATTTACTTTCGGGTAAACTTTATTCAGATAGATTAAGAAGACGATTAAGTGAATTTGAGTACATAGAGGAATTTGAAGCAGCTAATCCGATAAAACATTGGTATCATACAATTACCACTAATTTCTATAATAGAAAGAAAAGACAACTTGATCTAGGTAGTTATTTTAGAATGATTGTTACTGGTCAATCATGTGTTAAGATTACGAATCGTGAATTCAAAACTAAACAACAAGTTTATGATATTTTAAATGATTTATTTACGAATGTGACCTGTATCAAGACGACGCAGAATGATGATAGTGATCAGATTTATAAATCATCTATCTTAATTTTAGGATTAGATGATGGTGAACCTCAACTTCCAAAAGAGTTTACCGACAATGCATCAATTCCTAATGATGACGTTACAGATCTTACATTACTAGATTTGTATCCTAAATTAATTCTCATAAATAAATTATAAATATATATACATATATTTGAAATAAGTTTTACAATGTTATAAAACATATTGGTAGCTCTTAATCTTTCACGCGTCAGTTTAAATAAACATATATAGATTATTGACTTTTGATAAAAACTGTTTCTGCTTTTTCATATTATAGTTATGATTTTCTCAAGCCTTCGACATACAGAGTACTCTCACAGCGATCGTTAGAATCACTTTGAAAACTTCTTTATACTTTCTTCTGCGTTAAGAATGTTTTGATTTGATGCATCAATCTTATCAGCTAAGTAAGACAATCTTCCTCTAAAAGCTCTATCTGTAGCAAAATAAGATAATTTTTGAACTTCATCTTCAAATTTTTGAATTTTTTCAGTTTCTGATGAAATGATTTTCAATAAATAAGAAGTTTCAAGAACTTTAGATAATGATTCATCTTTAACTAAATTTTGGAAAGCAGCTCTGAAAATTGGTTTTGCTGGTCCAATTGTTCTCATTATACCACGGTCTCTACTGACTGTGATTAATCCATTACGTTCCAATTCAATCAATGCAGCTTCTGGATTTGATTTGAATAATGGATTATAAACTAATTGTTTATATTCTAAAGTTTCATGATCTGCTAATAATTTCATTAATTCCCAAGCTCTTGCATTCTTCATACCAGCATCTCTTGAAAGGAAAATTTGTGTAATTTGTTCAGCTGTTTGAGTAACCATTCTATTCAAAGCTTCTAATGGAGTTTCCCCTGATTTGGCACGTCTTACAAATGCTTGTAAATCTAGCATTCTACCACCGATTGGTCCTAAAGCTTCATCTAAATCTTTAACAACACTTGGATTTTGTGACAAATCTGGTTTTTTTTCATCCTCTGATCCACTTTCATCATCAGTTAATGTATTGTCCTCGTGTAATTGATCAATAACATATGATTTTGCAGATTCATGAGATGCATCAGAAAGTGCAATACTCTTGAAGACTTGATCTGGTAATGATTCTGATAAAAATTGTGAAGTTCCAACATCTTCAGTTAAGAATACAACATGTGCCAAATTCATTGAAATTAACATTGCAGTCCAATCAGCAAGTTCTTTATAAACAAAAGCATTTGATTCTGATCTATTTGTAGTGGAAAATCTATCAATGATAATCACTGGTTTCTTTTCCGGATGTTGTTGTAGGAAATCTTCTTCCTTAACAGGTGTTGAATTTTCACCAGATCCAACAACTGCTTTATATCCAGTTAATGAAATTTTTCTTATAGCAATCATAACACTTGATAAAATATTTCTAAATTGAGTATCTTTAGATTCCGAGAAACCAGATTTTTGTCCTGTTAAACCTTGGACACCTAAATCAATAATATTTGAAAATGAATTCAACCAAGGGAAAACTGGGAAATAACCAACTTCATGGGCTGCATTTGAAATGAATTGAGAATCACTTCTTGATTTAACTAATTTATCACAATCAATATACAAGATGTTATCACGACCATGTAAGGCATGTTGCATAACTAATTCATGTTTACCAGTACCTCTTGGACCACGAACAATTATAAAAGTATTCACATTTTCTTCAATCCAAAGTTTCAATTCCTTAACCAAATCTAATCTTTCTGACCAAAGACCACGTCTTGCTCCACCTTTAGCATCTTGACCAATAAATTTTTGGAACGAACTAATTGTTGAGCTTGTTAAATCATTAACAAATCTAATGACTGAATTTTTCTTATTAAAGATAAAATTATGTGTGATTTTATTCTCAATACTAAATTCTCTAATTGGATCAAAGATAACAACGGCCAAACCAGCGAATAAAGCTAAAAACAAAGGAATTGCAATTCTTGTATGATTCATTATCCAATCTAAAATAACATTCTTACTATTATATCTTTCATATTGAATATGTAATGTAGTATCATCAATCTTCATACCTGTAATACAATTTTTCGAACAGATAGCACCTCTAAAAGATCTGAAAATGACAGTTGCCTTTTTATCTTCTTCAGTGGCAGGTTTTATATCAACAATTGTCCCATATCTTCTAAATAATGAATATAATTCTTCTTCGGATAATGCAGGACCACTGAACTTAACTTTAATTGTTCTATTAGGATAACGTCTAAGATCTTCAATCCATGGTACACCTTTAACTGGGAATGCGGCAGATTGTGAAATGATGTTTAAAACACCGTTATTACTTTCTTCAATTGTGTTTTTTTGAATTTTAGCATTTAACTCAGATACAGTGAATCCATCAGGTACTTTAAATTTAACAAAAGCACCACCATCTCTTTTGATTGGAACAAGTTTTGTGACTTCCAACCCTGGGATTGATACAGTATCACCTTCTCTCTTAGGATTGGCCAATGCTAAGACATGTTCTTTGATAGCTTCAGGTCTTTTATCCGAGACAATCAAATAAGATAACCATTGTCTAATGTCCCATATACTAGAACGGAATGGTAACACATGATCGAAATAAAGCATGGTTTCTTGGTCATCTTTTTCTATAACACCTGTTTCATTAGCATCTACTGATTCACCAGCTTCAATATCTCTCTTTTGAATTGTGTCATCTGTAGCATAAGATCTGTTCAAATTAATTGATGGTTTGGGGATGGCACCTAATCTTTTAGCTGTGTTGATGAAGGGATTAACTCTTCTGAGTCCCAGATTTCTCAACAACATTGTAACAGGATACCACTACTAACAAAAGGACCTGCTAATAACCTCACAGAATACAATTGAGCACTTTTCAAGCCTTGAGACTCCTTGTAAAGCAGATGAAATAGAAATAAGATCTGAAATGTCACTTTCCTGTTAAATGAATTATTGCTATCAAATTATTTTGAGTGATCCCAAAGTGGAATTCCGACCGGCCTCGAATTTCGCCACTCGCTAATAAAGTGAAAAAAATCATAGATCTTGAGTACTATTCTTTGTAGAAAACTTGGTAAAACGGTGTGATTATACGAGCTTAGAAGTTCAAGATGAAGGTGAGTATCATGGCCTCGATTTTCTGATTCCAACGCGGTGACTAACACCAATTTCCAGCAAAGATTGACCTCGTTGGATATACAAGTGTTGACTCCAGAATTACAACATGAGATCACAAACTATAGATTACAAAATATCTATAATATTGCCACTTCAAACAAACAATATCTTTTAAAATTTGGATTACCAGATTCTAAGAAAAATTTGGTTCTTGATAGTGGGTTTAAAACTCATATTACTGAATTCTCAAGACCTACTCCACAAACACCATCAAGTTTTGTGGTCAAATTAAGAAAGCATTTGAAAAGTAGACGTCTTTCTAGTATAAAGCAAGTTGGTATTGATAGAGTTATTGTCTTAACATTCAGTGATGGTGCTTATCATTTGGTTTTGGAATTTTTCAGTGCTGGTAATATTGTCTTGTTGGATCATGAACGTCGTATTTTGGCTTTACAAAGATTAGTTGAGGAAAAGGGTAATAATGATAAATATGCCGTTGGTGAAATCTATAATTTATTTGATGAATCTCTTTTCGAAGATGAAGGTGATGAAAAGGCATTTGTACCTAAAACACATGATGCTTCAACAATTCAACAATGGATTCAAGAACGTAAACCAACAACTGAAGAAAATCCTCAAGGTAAAAAGAATAAAGTTCTTTCAATTCAAAAAATATTATATCAAAGAGCTCCATATCTTTCAGCTGATCTTATATCCAAGAATTTACATAAGCTTAGTGTTAATCCATCAACATCAAGTCTTGAATTTGTTGATAATGCTGAAATAATAGCACAAGCTTTAAATGCTACAGAACTTGAAGTACAATTAGTCTTGAATGTTAAACCTACAAATGGTCATGTTGTTCTTAAGAAAAATCCATTATATGATTCTGAAAAAGATGAAGAAGATTTAAAATATCTTTATGAACAATTCCATCCATTTGAACCAATTAATTTAAAAGAAGATGAAGAACTTGTTCCAATTCAAGGTTATAACAAGACTTTAGATAAATTCTTCTCCACTATTGAATCATCAAAATATGCACTTAGAATTCAAAATCAAGAAAATCAAGCTAAAAAAAGATTACAACAAGCTAGAGATGACAAACAACAACAAGTTCAACGTTTATTAGATGTTCAAGCTGTTAATACATTAAAAGGGGAAACTATCATTTTCAATGCAGAAATTGTTGAAGAAGCTAAAGCCGCGGTGCAAGCTTTATTAGATCAACAAATGGATTGGAAAACTATGGAAAAATTAATTAATGTTGAAAAAGCTAAAGGTAATCGTGTTGCTAAAGTTATTAATTTACCATTAAATTTAAAAGAAAATAAAATTAGTTTAAGTCTATCCACTGAAGATCCATATGCAAATGATGAAGATGAAGATGAAAGTTCAAGTGAATCTGAACCTGAATCTGAGAGTGACTCGGATGAAGATGAACCAAAACCTGTTAAATCACAAGCCAAAAAGGATAATGTTAAGAATACAATCAATGTTACAATTGATTTAACACTTTCTTCATATGCAAATGCATCAGAATATTTTAATGTTAAGAAATCCACAGTGGAAAAGCAAAAAAAGGTTGAACAATCTGCAACAAAAGCATTAAAAAACATTGAACAAAAAATTGAAAAAGATTTGAAAAAAAATCTTAAACAAGAAAATGATATATTAAGAAAATTGCGTAATCCATATTTTTTTGAAAAATTTAATTGGTTCATATCAAATGAAAATTATTTAATTCTTTCAGGTAAAGATGATTCTCAATGTGATTTAATTTATCATAGATATATAAATGATGATGATATTTATGTTCATGCAGATATTGATGGTTCAAGTCATGTATTCATTAAAAATCCAAATAAAGGTGAAGTATCCCCATCTACTTTAATGCAAGCTGGTATTTTATCATTGTCAACTTCAAAAGCATGGGAAAACAAGATGGTTACATCGTCATGGTGGTTATATGCATCAGATGTCACTAAGAAGGATATTGATGGTACTATTTTAAATGCAGGTAGTTTTAGATACTTGAAAGAAAAAAATTTCTTACCTCCAAGTCAATTAGTTATGGGATTTGCATTTTTATGGAAAGTTAAAACTGAAGAAAATGAAAAAGAATTAGAAGAACAATTGGAAGAATTGGATAATTTAGATATTAATGATGTTGAAAAGGGTGATGGTGAAGAAAAAATTGAAAAATTAACAGATGATAAACCTGAAGTTGGATCTAAAGAGGAAACAAATAATGGTGAAACTGAGGAATCTGTTGAAAATCATGAATCCCATGAATCCCCTGAAGAAGAAGATCAAGACGGGGAACAAGAAGAACATCAAGATGAAGTAGAAGATGATACGCCTGAATTTGATACCAAATCTTCCACCACAACAACATCAACAAAACAAAAGAAACCAACAAGAGGTAAGAAGGGTAAGATGAAGAAAATTGCTAATAAATATGGTGATCAAGATGAAGAAGAAAGAAGATTAAGAATGGAAGCATTAGGTACTTTAAAACAACAAACCAAAAAGGAAGAAGAATTTAAGAAACAACAATTAATTAAAATTAATCATTTAAAGAAAACTGAAAAAAAGAAAAGACAAGAAGAATTAACTGCTAATAAATATGCAAATAATAAAGAAGTTATTAATTTTGAAAAAATATTGAATGAATTAACACCTATCTTATCAAAAGATGATGAACCGCTGGAAGCTATCCCAGTATTTGCTCCATGGAATGCATTACAAAAATATAGATATAAGATTAAAATTCAACCAGGTTCTACCAAGAAGGGTAAAGCATTACAAGAAACTTTACATTGGTTTAATACAAGACCTGTTGATCCAAGTGAAAATGATAGAAATTATGATTGGCCAAAAGAACATGAAATTATTAAAGGATTGAAAGATACAGAATTATTACCTGCAATTTATGTTGGTAAATTAAAAGTTATGTTACCTGGTAAAAGTTCTGCAGCTAAAGGATCTGCCACTAGAAATTCAAAGAAATCTAAAAAGAAATAGGTATTGTTTAGGTTTTATGAATGTATTACAAATGGTTATACTTCAGTTTTTTATTCTTTTTTTTATTGTAAACACGTAACAAACATATCATTTAAAATCTAATCTTTCCAATAGTCCTATACATATAATCTTAAAGACCTTGTTGAATTCTTTCAGCAAGTTTACCTCTTGCGAAATTGAAAGCATTGAATAAACCTTTCTCACTTAAATCAATATTTTTCAAGCTTGGTTCATTAGTTGGAGCTTTTGAAGTTCTTGCAGCTATAACAGAAGATTCAGTTTCCAAGATAATACCATCATCAATAGTTTCATCAGCAGCTATACTAACTTTATCAAAATTTTCTTGGATAGTTTTCTTATCCAATTGATAATTCAAAACTTTATCTAAACCATCTTTAAAACCTTCTAAAGTTTGAAATAAAATTGATTCATTTTCATCTAATCCAGAAATTAAATATATCACCACATCAGAAACTTCCTTATATACCACGATATGATCTTCAAAGAGTATAATATCTGCGTTTTGTTTATAAGATTTAGCGAATAGAGATTTTTCAAATGCCTTTTGTGATTTTAAAGTAGCAAATTGAGATGCTTCAAATTCTTGTTCAGTCTTGTGTGGTGCTTTATAGTATTTAGCATATAGTCTTTTCCCTTCGTTATCTAATATTAAAAAGGCATCAACTGCGTAAAGGGACAAGTTCTTGGACATTGTGATTCAAATAATATAGCAGTGAGCAATTGGAAGTGTCACTGTGGTTGTTTCTGTTCAGTTGATTGTGTTTTGTCACTTTGTTGATATCATTTCGTTGTTTTGACGTGGTTTAATTCAGATCAAAGGAATTCGCGAAGTGCGACGGGTAACATTTCTGAAAACCGCGGCCATCAAAACAATTTCATTTTCCATCATTGTTCTGATAAATGAACAGTAGAGCCTACACTTTACAAAGTTAGTTATAAATACATTTATATATTTCATATTAATACATATTACTTTATTAAAAAAAAAAAAAAAAACATCAACAAAACATCAACAAAGTGAAGAAACAAAGGTGTCAAGAAGGTATCAAAGAAGGTATAGATCATAGGTATCAAGCTGTTCAAGTATCATGGGACAATCACATTTCAACTTCGCACTGCTTCGGGTCACCGTCATCCAACTTCTACGGTCCATTGGCTTTGACAGATGTGCTCCTTCGCTAGTGGACATTTTAGCAGATATTTATATTAGACATCTTCAACTACTGGCTTCTGAGTGTATGATGCTTGCTGAGAACTCTGAAAGAGAAGAGATAGAGATCCAGGATATCACACAGGGATTACAAAACATAGGAATGATCAAACCTACAAATCTATTGGATATCTATGATCAATATGAAGGTACAAATAAAAGTGCTGATAATTTCCTTCTATGGGTTGTTGGTTCAATACCTGAAAACTCAAGAATTGTTAGTAAACCAACTCCTGAAATGTCAAATACCAAGAAAAACAAACCAAACCCAGTGATACCTGAATATATAAATGCATTGAATAGTAGTAATGCTGCTGAAAGTACTATAGATTCAATGTCTAAAGACACATTGAATTCACAATCTCAAATTCAACAACAACAACAACCTGAAGAATTAGATGAAGATTGGTTGAAATTCTTAATGAAGAAACAGTCAAAGATTGGCCACGAGGAAAAATTTAAACATACTGTCTTGAATACCACAAGTAATAATACAATAAGTGATTATAATGTTGTTGGACCTGCTCATGAAGAACTAGAGAGGAAATTACCATTCAATACTAAATATGATGATGAATTATCTGATGATGAGTTTATAGATAATGGTCATTCTACTTCAAGATTACACTCTGCAGATTATAATTATTAATTTATTGTATAATCTCTTTTTTAATTCCCTAATGAACAAAATTTTATAGATTAATTATATTTACAATCCCAATGTAGCTTAATATTTCTTTTCTATTATACTATAATATACAAGTTTTATCTCAAAAAAAGTTATCTACAACTTCTTACGAGCTTTTAATTTTTGTTTTGGTTTACCAATTCTACCACCTTTACCACCAATCTTACTTCTTTCTTGTCTTTTAGGTTTAGCTAATTCATCATCATTACCATCATCTTCACCATCATCATCATTAGCTTTAGCACCTCTCTTGAATTTAAATTTATTCTTTTGACCTTTAACAGGACCTGATTTAACAGCTTCAACATATGCATTAATACCTGATGTGATTGATTTTAATGGATCTTCATCATTTGCACTATTTTTATCACTGAAATGTAATCTACCATCTTTTTCAAATTCTGATGCATTAATTTTTCTACCACCCTTTTTAGTTGGTTTTGATGATGAAATGTGTGATAATGCTTGACGATCTAATAAATCTAATGGTTCTTCATTAGCTTCCATAATATATTGATTACCTTTACCTTTTCTATTGTTGTTATTATTATTTGTTGGTTCATCATCTCCACTATCATCTTCAGAATCATATAATACTTCATCATAAGCATTTGAAAATTTAGATTTACCATTATTTGTACCTTCTTCATCATCTTCTTCACCTTCTTCAGCAGCTCTTCTTTTAGCTCTTGCTTTAGTTTTTCTAATATTTGTTAATAATTTCTTATCTTCTTCTGGGAAATTTTCTTCAATAGTTTCAAAACCAAATCTTCTAATTAATCTTTCCACAATATGTTTAACTTTTGATTTAAAATGTCCAGTATGTTCATGAGACCAACGTAATAAATGTTCTAATAAATTTTTCAAATTTGGTTTAACTAATTCTTCTGGTAAACTTATAGCAGCAACTTTAACAAATCCAATAGTAGATTTTGCAATTTCTCTATTATTTGAAGTTAAAAATAATTCCACAGTTGATGAAATTTCCACTAATAATTCAGTTTCAACAACATCTTTAAATTCAAAAATTAAACAACTAACTGCTGTAATTGTAGCACTAATCATATGTGCAGCAGAACCAGCAAGACCAGCACTAACCATTGTGAAATATTCAGTTAAATTAGCTTCAGCATCTGGAACATCATCACCAAATCCTGGGATCTTGGAATTTTGCACAACACCACCTTTATGCATTAATTTACCCATTTCAATCAAGATATTATAAGATAATTCTCTTGTTTTTTCATTTTGATCTTTTGTTGATAATATTATTTCTGATAAGATAGCTGGAATGAAATATAAATCATTTGATGGTAATATAGTTAAAATTGTAGAAATGGCAGATAATCTTGATGCTCTTGCAGATAAATGAACTGATTGAGTTGATTCAATAATAACTTTTTCTATTGATTCAATAAATTTCACAAGGGCATTTTGACCAGTTGGTGTTTCAATTAATTTTGAAATAATTCTATATGCTCTCTTTTGTAATAATGGATCTTCTGAAGAAACCGTTTGATTGAAAATTGTAAATAATGCATTATATGAAGATTCTGGAACATATTTAGCCATAGCAACAACTAAATCCATCATTGTAGCACTTAATTTAGAAACACCTTTTTGATTTTGTTGTTGTTTGTTATTATTGGCTTGTTCTTTAGCTTCATTATCTAAAGCATCTTTTAATAATACTGAAACTTTATTAAAAGTATTTTGTAAATCTTCTGGAGTAGAAATACTTAAATAAGTATCAATAGTTTCTAAAACAAAATTTCTTGATTCTGGAGCAGTTTGTGAAAAAACATTAAATAGCACAGCTAATAAATTTGAAGATTTTGATGATAAATATTCAACATTTGATTGAGCTTCTTTTATAGAAAATTGCTGTGATAAAAATTCATCATCAACTAAAGCACCATTAGCAAATGCAACATTACTTTCAACTAATAATCTTAAAGCATGACAAATATTAACTCTTAATTCAACTTTAGTATATAATAATTGTGCCAAATTTTGAGCAAATTCATCATTAAAAGATTTTGTTAAATCATTTGGTAAATCTGCAAAATGTGGTAATAATGACCAAGTTTGATCAATAATTGTTTGGAAAATCTTGGAATGAACAGAGTTTTTATCTAATGATTCAATTTTGCTAGAGAATGTTTCAATTAATGGTAAAAATTCTTGTTTGAAAAAACCTAATCTTGCAAAACGAACATTATCTCTTAATAATGGTAATAACCAAGCTCTACCAGATTTATTAGCATCTAACAAATTTAACGGAAGGACATTTAGGACAACTTCTGGACCTAATTCAGTAATAGCAGTACCGATAACAGATTCAGCTTCATTTTTAAATTCAAAATCTTCATTAGTTCTCCATTCACCAATAATTTCTAAAGGTTTTAAGAAATCAGGATTTGATCTTGATCTTAATTTTGCAAATATTGAAACAACAACTTCTAAAATTTCTTTAGTAGCATTAGTATATTTAACAGCTAATAAATCTGTAATAATTTCACTTAATTCTGTAATTACTTCATCAACTTCTTCATAAATTTCACCAGTGATTCCATTATCATTAGTTGGTAATAATAAAAATTTATCTGGGATACCTTCAGTAATAATGGAAATTACACATTGTGATGCACTAATATAGATATCTGAAATTTCTGAAGCAAAGAATGGTTGTAAAATTTTTAAAACATTTGGAATTTTCTTGATAGCTTCCAATGGTTCAATTTTGGAATATGCTGTAACACCTTTAGCAACAACTGCAATCCAAGCAGCAGCTAAATGAGAATCATTAACTGATGGTTTTAGATCAAAAATGATATTCAACACTTTTGTAAATTTATCATTATCAATTTCATTAGTCATTGAATTAAATAAACCTTCAAATCCACCAAATGCAGCAGAAACTAAATATTGGTCATTAGTTTTAGAAATTTCTAATAATAAATCACATAAAGTTTCAATTTTAGATGCAGGCCAAGTATTTGCAGAGGTTATAGCACTAATTAATTGTAAAGTATGTATCAATTTAGCTGAATGTTCTTTATTTGTTTTTTGATTTGGTTTATTACTTAATAATTCCACAATTGTCTTTATTGATAAATCAGAAGCTAATCCACTACCAACATGTTCTCTTGCTGGACCTGGTGGAGGATTTGCTAAGATTTTATGGACAGCTTCTTGAGCTCTTTTTCTAACTTTTGGTCTTGGATCTAAAGAATATTCTAATAATCCACCTAAACCTCTTTTTGGGTTAATATTTAATGATGAATTATTCCATGAATTTAAATCTTGAGCAATTAATAAAGTTTCTAAAGCACCAATAGCAGATCTAATCAATGGAGCTTCAGCTTCGGTGTTTGTAATTGCAGGAGCTAATTTAGTTAAAATTTCTGGGAATTTTGATTTTAATAAACTTTTTGGAATGAATGGTAAAGTTAAATCTAAGAAATAAGCACTTGAAGCAGCTAAAGCTGGATCTAAGATTTCATCAGTTTGAACATTGATTGATTGTTCTAAAAGGGATAAAAATGAAACGAAATAAGCAACAGGAGATTTTTGACCATTTGAATTTTGATCTGAAATGTTTTCTTCAACAGCTGATAAAATTAATGCTAAATGTTTTTGATTTTCTAATTTAGAAGTGATTTGAGTTCTTATTTTTTGTAACTTGAACTCGAAATCAATCAAGTCTAAGTCTTTATCTTCCGCAGACATCTTTGGAAGTGATATAGTTTTGAAATAAGTAAATCCTCAAAGATCAATCTTTTACCAATATGTATATGATTTTAAATTTTATATCAATATAAATTTTTTTTTAACCTCATCGCCCTCGGTAATTACCTTTTTAGGATTCTCCAATTCCGACTTATTTTCGTGAAAAAAAATTGAAATCAACGAAATTTGAATGGAAAACAACGAAATTGAAAGAATCAAAAGACAAAAAGAAGAAGAATCAGATCAAGTTCAAAGAGTAATAGTCAATAGTTATCATGACAAAGGGACTCGTTAGAATAAGACTCGCCAGATTCGGGAGAGTCAACCAACCAGTGTACAACATTGTTGTCTCACAAGCCAAAAAAGCTAGAGATTCTAAACCAATTGAAGTTATTGGAACTTATAATCCAATTGCACCACCTCCAAAGAAATTACCATCTGGGAAACTAACGGTACCAGCCAAAAAGATTGAATTGGATTTCGATAGAGCTAAATATTGGTTATCCGTTGGTGCTCAACCTACAATACCAATTATTAGAATGTTCAAGAGAGCTAATCTATGGGTTTGAATTATATTAGTAAAGGTTATATGAAAATAAGAAGAAATAGAAAAATTGGTAATCTGCTGGTGTCAAAATAATATTATTGTTACCTTGTTGAATTAGAGATTATACTATAAGCAGATTTATGAATGTTGATGTATATTATGTAAATAGTTTGGGTTTAAAATGCATTTAAGGTTGAATTTTATACTAGTAATTGTAGGATAATACGGGATGGCCATATGGGAAACAAGGAACATGAATAGAAAATAAAAGGAACACAGTGTGATTAATACAAGTAACCAATCCAATCTGTTCTAATATTTTTCATCCAAAAGACACGAATTATATTTTCAAGTAAGACATATTGAATTATTAGTATCACCTTATGAAACCCATACTTAACGACGAATAACGCTAAAAACACCATTTGAATTGGAATAAACAGCCAACTTCACAATAAACAACATACACCATACACTCTTCTGTATACGCACCTCTATCTCTCTCTGCACTATCTACTCTACCCTTCCTGAGTCCAGAACCAGCCCATGATCGTTCATCGCCTAGCTGACATAATGTGTGGCCCTTAGTACTGTGATTGAATCTCTTTTTCGATGGGCGTTTTGATAACGAAAAGCTTCAATTCCACTCAAATTCCATCGTTTTAAGAAATTTATTGAAGTTGAGTTTACTTTGGAAGAAGTGATACAATTGAATTTATTGTTTGGAAAGGATACGCTTTGAATAATAGTTCAAGTTATTCCGTGGAAAGTTTTTGTTTGTTGATCATCTGATTTCCTATCGCATTTTGTGGGTTCTATATTGCTTATTCCATAAATAACAACAATTTTATAATCCTTGAAAAAGAAGTTTCATAAAGATTTTAAAGACTATACAAATAATTCATTAATCATATTCACATCAATAACACAAGAAAAATGGCTTCACGTACACGTAAAATCTCAGTTGTTGGAGCTCGTGGTGTTGGTAAATCAACATTAGTTGTTCAATATGTTGATAATTATTTCTTGGAAAGTTATTATCCAACAATTCAAAATCAATTTAATAAATCAATTAAATTTAGAAATCAAACTTATGAAGTTGAAATCCTTGATACCGCAGGACAAGATGAATTCACTATAATAAATGATTCTACAATCGTACATGGTTATATCTTGGTTTATGCCATAAATAGCAGATCATCATTTGAATTATTACCAGTCATAAGAGATAAGATTTTGGATTCAATTGGAACAGATAACGTACCTATGATTCTTGTGGGGAATAAAGTAGATTTAGAAAGAAAAGTTTCTAAAGAAGAAGGAACAAAATTAGCAAAAGATTTTGGAATTCCTTATATTGAAGTTAGTGCAAAATTAAGTAGTGGTGAAAATAATGATATAAGTAAAATTTTCTTAGCATTATTGGAACAAATTGAAGGTGAAAAAATTGATACAACAAATGAAAAATGTGTTATTGTTTAATTTTCCTCTCTATCAATTGTTTATCCGATGTCTTTTTTTAATGGCTACTTCTTTTTATACAAACTACATTTGTTTAGCTTTATAATGATTTCAAATACATTTATTTAATGATTATCACGTCCTTCTAGTAGTTTATTAAATCAAAAATTTTAAATTAACATCAATTGGATGAGATGTTGATAATTGAGGTTTTTGTGAATATTTACCTTCCATAATTTCTCTCATATTTTGTAATAAAGAAAGATAAGTTTGTTGTGATGTATTACCCATAATTTTACAGAAAGCATAACTCATTGCACCAGTTGGTACACCACCTTCAGTTGCATCTGCTAAAGTTTGATCATCTTTTGAACCTGAAAACATAACAACATCAGCTGGTGATGTTTTAGTCTTCTTGGTTTTTTCATAAGCTTCAGAATTTGATCCTCCACCAGTTGCTAATTTAAATAAACCTTGAACACCTCTCATAACACCTGCATTATCACCTTTAGCATATGACATTACGGTTTCTAATAAACCTTCACCTGCTTCGGCTGCTAAATTTGGTTCTTTTAATACACCTTTTGTTGAATAAGTATATGGTAAATCTAAAACAGAACCTGAGTGACATGAATCAAATAATGCAGTTAATCTAACACCAGGTTGTAAAGGATTAATTAATCTTACATGTAATTCATCATC